ATTTGTGCTAGTTAAGGCTTTGCCATATTTAATCGTTGCATAAAATTTGGTTCTTCCTGTACCATCACCATTGGAGAAGGAAATGGCAACCCACTCCAGTATTCTTGCCTGGAGAATCCCATGGACAGAGGAACCTGGTTGTCTATCGTACATGGGGTCGCAAAGAGTTGGACACAACTGAGCGACTAAGCACAGTACCATCACCATAATAGCCATCAACCTTGGACAACATGCACGTTTATTATGAGCAGGCAATCCTGCCAGAGAGGCCAAGGTTCCTGTCTTTTAAAAGAATATAAGCTGTCCCTTGTTTCATTTATTTGTTTCTTACAGGATAAGTCTAATTGATTTTTAAACTATCGTAAAGTATTTTATGACATTCTATTGTGAAACTCCAGTAAATTATAAAAAGACTCTGAAAACTAATTTTTTACATAGAATTGAACTAAAAAACTCTCTGACTTCTAGAATTTTCCACCTTCAGACATGTTTATTACCTATAATTTGATAACCCAGGAAAGTAATGTGAACATGAAAACCACTTAGTTGTGTCCAACTCCTTATGACCTTGTGGACTGTGGCCTGCCAGGCTCCTCTGTCTGTGGGATTCTCCAGGGAAGAATACAGGAAAGTAAAATTAACTAATTATATTTTTGGCTTGTTTTCCAAGAAGAGAAATGGTACTAAAGTATTTCTAATGATTTTGTTATGAGTGAGCCACACTGGAAGAAAACAAGTAGAAAACATGGAGCCACACAGTGGCCGGGATTTAATGTTGTGAAATGAAGGTAAATGCCATGCTGGGCTGCCACTTTCACTTCCTTCCTCTGCGTATCTCAGACACAGCTGAATTCAATAACCCACAGGTCCAAAACCACAGATGGTCAAATACTAACATGGCTGTTAGTTGTCAGTACCGGAGTATGTTCTTATCACTTTTCCCATTGCTAGATACCGATGCCAGAAAAACAGCAAAAGCTGAAGAAGTCGTAGCAAGTGATAGTTTCTCTGAAGTAAGTACTATAATCTAATTTTGGCTACTAGTATATTGAAATGTGTTGTGAGTCATAGCCTTTTCATAGCGTTTTCATCTTCATATGAAATAGCAATGTGCTCCTCTTTGGCTTAAACCTGATGATGAAATACTAAACCTGGGTTTATTTGATATTTTTTATAGCTTTAATATAGTTTTTATCTAAAGCAGTGGAAATTGCTTTCAGTTTTTCCAGGTAAGAAAACACATGCTTTTAAAAATTTTAGACTTATAACAAATTTATATTGATGTGTTTTTCTTTACCACTTAATTTATTATTTTTATTTCCTTTCACAATATCTTTATCTTTAAATTTTTTCCAGGATTTATCCTTAGACTTATTGGTGACTCTGCAGAATTTTTCATTAATCCCTGAAAAAATGTTTACAACAATTTGCAACTATTGCTTTTAATGAAAACTAATATTTCCATATATAGGATTGCTTTACTGTATATGGAAATATAATGGTCAAATAGAATGGTCAGGTTAATCAAGTGGGATTTTATTAAATATAATTAGAGTAAATAAAATTATATTTTTAAATTTATTGTTTTGTTCCCCAAGGAAATCAATTTTATAATATTTTAGATTTCAAAACTGCTTTAAGATAGAAAAAGTTTTGGAAGAATATATACCAAGCTATAAACATGATGCCATATAGGGAGAAAAATGAGTTTAGAGAAAATGATCAAAAGGGACTAATAATTTTTTCTCTGTATTTTTGAAATATAAATTAGCATAAAGGCTAAATATGTTTTTATATTACATTTATTGAGTTACGAATCTCCTGCATTCCATATTCAATTCAGTTCTAAGGGCATACTTTGTTCCATGCATTGTTGTAATCTGAGGGGGGAGTGACAAAAAAATCAGTGAACAAAAGTGACAGGGCTCCCAAGCTTTAAGGAGTTTACAGTCTAAAAGAGAGGGACCATAAACTCATATGTAAATGAATTTATATGAACCAGCAGCTGGTGATGATGTCGTCTGAAAAGAAAAAGTAGAGTAAGGGAGATGGCTTTGAGAGCGCGCGGTTTAAACAGATTGGAAGAAGATTGACAGAATCAACCACTGGCCCTGGGGAACCATTTCAGGTCGCCAGAAGAGCTGGATGATGGCCTTGAGGCAGAAAGGTGCCTGTGCAGCAAGGGAGGGGAAGAGAAGGGAGGCGGTTAGAGAGATGAGCGGGAACAGAGAGGAATCACGTCAGCCAGGGTCATGGAGGCCACGATGAGGACATTGAGAGTAAGGGGAGCCTTTGCAGGGTTTAAATAGAGACTTACCCCGTGGCTCAGCAGGTAAAGAATCTGCCTGCAATGCAGGAGACACAAGAGACACGAATTCAGTCCCTAGGTTAGGAAGATTTCCTGGAATAGGAAATGGCAGCCCATTCCAGTATTGTTGCCTGGGAAATCCCATGGACAGAGGAGCCTGGTGGGCCAGAGTCCATGCGGTTGCAAAGAATTGAGCACATAGTATCATTTGGCTCATAAAATGCTCACTCTAGTGGCTGAGTTCAGAATAAACGCTGGGGATGTTCTGTTCATATAACAATATAAATGCTGGAAGAAATAGAAAAGCTAATTATCTGAGGGCCAAAATCAGGCATCAGAAAAGTAAACAGTATTATTCAGCCATAGAAAAGAATGAAATAATGCCATTTGCAACATGGAAAGACCTAGAGATTATCGTAATAGGTGAGGTAAGTCAGAGAAAGACAAATATTATATTCTATCAAATGAATTTATTTATAAAACAGAAACAACTTGCAGACTTAGAAAACACGCTTATGACTACCAGAGAGGAAGATAGGGGAAGGATAATGTGGGAGTATGGGATTAACAGATGTATGCTACTATATATAAAGTAAACAACAAAATTTACTGTGTAACATAGAGAACTATATTTAATACCTTATAATAAACTATAACAGAAAAGGAAGAAATATATCAGATTTCACCATTGATAGGAGAGAACTTCAGTGGGCCAAAGTCAGGCTTACACAGGTTACCCCAGAAGGCATGCTCCCTCTTCGTGGCATGAGTGACTAGAACTCAAGCCGAAAGCCCCAATCTCTTTGATTTAACATATTAGAGGATGAAATCCGGGGACACCAGAGCAGCTAAGAATTAAAGAAGAAGATCTTGAAAAGGAGGGAGCTAGAGGAGAAGCTCCCAAATCTGTAAATACATTTTCCTTAACTGCTTGCTGGATTCCAGAATTGTACTAAAGGATCAGTGTCTTCACCAGAGGACACGACCATTTAATTTTTTTTCCCCTCCAGATATTTAGAATCTGACTTTTAAATGAACTCTTCCTTACCATTCCTTGTTTATTTTCACAGCTCACTGTGCGTGCTCAGCTTGGTGCAAAATCAGAAAGGCTACTGAAGAAAGGAAAGAGCATATCTGATATATTGCTAGTCAGCATCATGGTAAATGCCATTAAGTATGTATCTATGTACCACACTTTCTTTCTTATGTCTATTTAATATATTAGTAGGTAGAACTTTATCAAGAATAATTTTGAGTCATTTTAATTTTTAATATCTAATTATTCATACAGAAAGAAAAAGATGTATTTTGTGATTTTCATGCCTGTATTTCACTTTCCTCCCTTTTTTAAACTTGACTTCACTCACCCAGATGGGAATTCAAGTTAGGTTCTATTCTCTTTTTTTTGGCTGTGCTGGGTCTTCCTTGTGATTCTTGGTCTTAGTTACCCCAGGGTATGTGAGATCTTAGTTCCCTGACCAGGGATGGAACCCATATGTCTTGCATTGGAAGGCAGATTCTCAACCACTGCACCACCAGGGAAGTCCCAAGTTCTATTCTGTATGGGGAATTCAAGGAGAAATTAGACAGTTGGAAAAGCCGTGGGACAGGTTTGGGAGAGGAGAAACCTTCACTATATGGCCTTGGGCCAAAATGCTTCCTCATTTTGTGCTTCTGGAGGAGAGAGTGACCCCAGGGGTCCAAAGACCGGGCAGCACAGGGTAGGAAGGCAGGGAGAAATTAGAGGTTGCACAGGCAAGGAATAGCGCATATGCGTAGCACAGAGGTGATGTGTGATAGGGTAAAGAAAAAATTTTAATAGACTATAATTTTGTGATTCCTCCTTTCTAAGAAAAAAAGATTCTCATCAGCCCTCCTTTACAATTGGGAAAAAAGAGGGAAATTTTAAAAAGCCATAGGGGCTCAGTTAATTAATTCATGCAGTAAAGAAATGAGGCAGAGCAGGATGGAAAAAGAAATAAAAAAGGCTCTTTTGAAAGACCTTTGCAGAGCATCGAGTGAGTGAGGGGTTGGGGGCTGTGCTGCTTGAGAAACATTATGACCAAGAGAATGAGGACAGGAGGCTTTGGAGAATTTTTCTTGGGCGTCTGCAATGGACTCTCCCTTTCAAGTTTCCTTAAGAGGCTTCATTCAAGGTTTAAGTTGCCTCTCAGTGGTGATATATCTTGGGCTGACTGCTTTTTTGAAGAAACTCGGCCACAGGGATGCTATTCTCAAAGCTGGAAGGGATCTCATCCTAACAGTTGCAGCCTTTTTCAAAAATGGAATAAAACATGTTTTAGCCATGGCATTCATCATTCAAAGAAAATTGCGCATGCAGAGCATCAGCTCTAAAATGGATCTTAGCTTTGGTTTCCATGGAGTTGGAGTGTCTACACCCCACCCTCAGAACTCTGCTACCTTCCCACTATCACCATCCCCTCTGCCCCTGAGACATGTTCAGAGAACTGCCATCAGCCTGAGAGCCTTCCAATTAGTCCAAGTGCATCCTTCTTCGATGAGGAAAGGCAGGCACGTGGCAGTTCAGCTGGGCAGTTCAGTCACATGTCTGGTTAGTGGCATAGCCAAAGCGGAAGTCTCTTCATTCCCTGTCATCTGGTGTCTTCATACTACAGCCTGACAAGCATGGCCTTGGCCTCCGCCTCCCCTTGAAGTAGCTCCTGAGTCAGGATGTGGGAGAAGGTTCCTCAGATCTGGTAAAGTGCTCAAGAAGTTTCTTCTCCTCAGACTGAGGCCAGTGAATTAAAAATCCCATTCTCTGCAGAATGCTTACCATGCTCTGGAAAAGCCATAAAAGCAAAATGCAGGCTTTCCTTGCCCTTCATAGCCTAATAGGAGTAATAGAAGCAGTGACCTGAAGGCAGCTTAATACTGTGGAAAGATCACTAGATTTGGGGTCACTTGCAGTTTTGTGACTTTGAACAAGTAATTAATTAAACCTCTTTGAACTTGAGTTTTGCCATTCCTTCCTTGCCACAGTCAGAAGGATCATACACAGGTACCAAAGCATACTTCCAAACCTTTAGAAAGGGAATTCTAAGTGTTTAAATGAGTTTTAATGGAGAAAGAAATGAAATTATAATTTTTCATCCAAAAGTCAAAGTCTATTTTTTAAATTAATTTATTTATTATTTTACTTTACAATATTGTATTGGTTTTGCCATTAATTTTACATAATTTAAGGATTTTGCAAGAGCAAAGTTGAAGTTGTTTTCCAATTTAAAGAACTAAAATAATAGTTTTTGGAGCACCTATTCTCTTTAGAGGATATGACACTGAATGCAAAAACTGAAGAAATGATCCTTACATTTCAGCAACTTAGAATTTAATTGAGATAAAGAAGACTCACTTAAATTTTTCTAAGTCAAAGAATGTAAGAGTTAACCAATTGTGTGATGAAGTGAATGAGAGTCCAAAGGAGTTCAGATCAGGCTGTTATGACTCCACGCTGGATTGGGTGGGGTAGGAAGAACCTTCCAGATTGGCGATGTGAGTTTCCACCATATGCTAAATTCTGTGCTGAGTTCTTAAAATGTGTCATTTCAGTTCATCCTCACCAGCATCCTGTAAGGTATGTTATGTTATCCTGCTGTATAAATGAGGAAATTGAGGTTCTAAAGAGGAACAGCCTATGAACGCAACTAGCAAGTACTATTTATATTCATGTAACAGCGAGGAGATTGGTGTGTTCAAAGTGAATGGTTCAAAGTTGTGAGAGAGAAGTTATAGGGGAGCAGGTTGTGGCTAGCTCGTTTTAAACACCACATTGTGGCTTCTGGAATAGATTTGGAGGGCAGCAGGGACCCACAGAAGGATTTTGAGTAAGGCAGCGTTTGTGGTACAATAGGAAGCCTAATTTTGACTGGGTGTGCGTGCTAAGTCGCTTCAGTCATGTCTGACTCTTTGCGACCAGGCAAGATTACTGGAGTAGATTGCCATGCCCTCCTCCAGGTGACCTTCCCAACCCAGGAATGGAACTCAAGTCTCCTGTGGCTCCTGCATTGGCAGGCAGATTCTTTACCATCAGCGCCACCAGGAAGCCCAATTTTGGCTGTAAAGAAGTAAAATTTATGCAGAAAGAGATTACTGTGGAGTTGAAAGAAAGATAAAGGCAAGATTCATTGTGTTATTATTTCTAAAGGGATTTGTGTCTATCAAACTATTAATTATTTGTCCTTTGTTTAATTTAGTCAAATACCTATACATAAAGGCTGGATCCTGGATGGCTTTCCAATGACATTAAACCAAGCAGAGCTTCTGGAGGAAGCACTCACAGGCTACAACAGAAACCTCATAGAACTGCAGGGAAAGAAATCACAAACATCCACATTAGCTGTTGACCCTACAGCTTCCAAAGAAGTGCCTCGTCTCCCTTCTGCATTTGATTTTGTCATGTTATTAGACATTTCAGATAATTCCTCACTGAATCGCATGAATGACATGATGGGTAAGCTGGACACCTTTCTAAAAATGTCCTTTTATGTATTCAGAGTTCTTTATTTTTCTTTGAAATGGTGAATATTCCCATCTACAACTGTAAGTGGATAATAAAGAATCCATTTCAGACTTCCAAAGAATTACCTAACACAGCTTAGTTGCCTCCTGCTCTGTCTGTATTCAGCACTCTAGCCCAAATCTGAAGCTAGTAGAGAATTCCCTGGTGACTGCAAGCATCTCATTCAACCCTTCCATCAGCTTGGCAGCTCACCTGGCCCTGAGGTGCCCTCTTTGAGACTTGCATGAATGAAGGAGCTTCTCATGGCTACTTAGTATATCTTGGTGTGTTACTCTAGTGAAGTTCATGAACCACACTAGGGCTACAAACAAGGATTGCTAACATCCTTCCCTTGGATTGTGTATTAACTGAGGAGCAGTTATCAGTTGACTGAAGTCCTTACATCATGAGGTCAAATAGTCTTGCCAAGATTCATGGTTTAACTACTTTTCATTGTTGAGATGAAAATATCACTTTATTCCATAAATTAAGTAGTTATGAGTAAAAGCACCAATTCTTAGCTTTGTAAGTTATTAGGCATTTGACCTTTGGGAAGCTAATTCTTTCTTTCTTCTTAACCTCCATCTCACAATATATATAATAGAATGGCTCATTGCATTATTACTGTATAATTAAAGGAAAGCTGTTTCATTACTCACAACACTTCTGACACCAAAGGTGTATGGGTTTTCCATACCACCCAGTTCTTCAGTTCTTAATAAACACCAAGTGGGTGTCCTAGAATTTAATTCAATCCTGTCAGTAACTTCCAGAGTTATCACAGATTTTCAGTTGGCTCAGTCCCACACGACTTCTTCCCACTTCAGATGTCTGCCTCAATGCAGTGGATCCCCAGGTTATCCACGCTTCTGTCTGACTTGACTATAAATTAGAGGTTTCCATGACCATGCCTCAGGTCTGATAGATTATCTATAATTATCTGTGATGACTCACAGAATACAGGGAAGCACTCTGCTTACTATTACTGTTTTATTGCAAAGACTGACATAGAAGATACAAATGAACAGCCAGTTGAAGAGGCACACGGGGCAGAGTCTTAAGGAATTCCAAGCTCAGGCCCCTCCCCCGTGGAATCTGGTGTGTAACACACTCCTGGCACATGGATGCATTCACAAACCCACGAGCTCTCTGAACACCTTCTTTAGAGTTTTTATGGGAGTTCCATTATGTAGGTATGATTGACTATATAATTGAGCATTGGTGATCAGTCTCTAGCCTCTTCCCAACCCTAGAGACCTGGGGGTAGGACTGAAAGTTCTAGCTCTGTGGTCAGTTGGTTGCTCAGGCAGAAGGGCTCCACCCTCCCAAGAGTCACCTCTTTGGCATAAACTCAGATAAGGTTGAAAGAGGCTTATTATGAAAAATAATGATAATATAAAAACCCTCCTCTTACCACTATAGGAAATTACAAGGGTTTTCAAAGCTCTGTGTCAGGAGACAAAGACCAAATATGTATTTCTTATTGTCTCACATATATTAAGTGAGATAAATGTTAAACACTTAGTATAGAATCTGGTACGTGCATCAGGAACAATAGTGGCAGGACATCAGGAAACACATCAGGAAAAATGGTGGAAGACTTTGAAATGAACAAAATATTATTGGATATTCTTTCAATAGAAGACTGAGTATTGTCTATGGGACCCCTTGGAGTATTTGGTTTCATAGGATTCTGTACCTTTCATTGGCTTAACTCATCTCGTCTATAACCATAAATTGTAGAAAATTGATAGTAATTCAAATGATTCATATCTATGGACATACAAATGAATTTTATTCAATTAAGATAATTTCTGTATGCTAAAAAAGATAATTTCAAGTATGACATTGTTCTCTATACATAGTAACCAGTTTTTTCATAGTTGAAATAGATGAAATAGTTTTTTTGTCTATTATCATCTATTTTATCATTCCTGTCTGTGAATATGTCTCTTATTCAGATTTTCATTTGAACTAGTTGTAATATCTTGCTGATTCCCTCATTAATTAAAGAATTAGATGATGTTATTGTACATTGTATATGTACAATATGTTTGCTGTTACAACTAATATAATGACATTTGTGGCTTAAGAGAGACTTAGGGAATCATTTCCTCCTATATTTATAGGTGGACATTTAAAGCATGAGCACTTGACTCTTCCTTATTTTGAGTTTGTATAATTTTGAGATCTTCCTTTCACTGTATTTAAATAAAAGGACAAAACCATTAGATACTACTTCAGCTCTTGAGCACAGTACTTTACACTGAATGCTATCCATCAAATTTCAAAAGGGAAAATTTACTTCTCTCCATACAAGCAAGTAGGGACTATACTGACAGTAGTGATGATTGTTCAGCTAACTTCCTATTCTTGTTGAAGGATATCTGAGGATTGGTGAAGAATATTTCCAATCCATGACTGTTTATTGGCAGAACAGGGCCCACAACTCAAAGCAATCCAACTTGCTTTCAAGATATGATAAGGGTTGATGATGTTTATGTCTTGATATCAGTGCTATTTATGCTATTTTCAGTTTGGGAAGCCACTGAGCTGTATATTCATGTATGCATTCTTTTTGGAAGGTGTGGTTCAATAAGCAGTTTGAAAATTTAAAAAGAAATTCAGAACTTGGAGTGAGATAACTGGAATCAAATGCTTTTTCTTTCATTTATAAACTATGCCATTTGGGGCCAATTTCAGAATCACAATCCTACTTTACAAGTTTTGTTGTGGATATAAAATAATGTAATATAGTCTTCCCTTAGTATTCACAGGGGATTAATTCCAGAACCCCTTTGGATACCAAGAGGAGGGCATGGCAACCCACTCCAGTATTCCTGCCTGGAGAATTCCCATGGACAGAGGAGTATGGCAGGCTACAGTCCATGGGGTCACAAACAGATACAACTGAGCAACCAAAATCCAAGGATGCACAAGTTCCTTATATAAAATGATATGATATTTGTATATAACCTGTGCACATCCTCCTGTATACATTAAATCATCTCTAGATTACTTATAATACCTAATATAATGTGACTGCTATATAAATACTTGCCAGCACCTGGAAGAATCAAGTTTTGCTTTGGGGCCCTTTCTGGGCTTATTTTCCCAAATATTTTTAATCTGTGGTTGGTTGACTCCACTGATACGGAGGGCTGACTGTATGTGTAAAAACGTTTAAGAACTGTTTGCTAAACTTTACGTATAAATCAAGTAAGACAAAGACTGAAACATTTCCATTGAATTGATGTCTTTGATAACCAGAAGGGGAGCTGTTTCAATGGAGTGGGGGACGGGGAAGGATGGATTGCTACGGAACGGAATGTGAATGGGGGTGAGGAGGTGGACAGTGTGAGTTAAGATACCTCTCAAGAAACTTGTCTCTGAACAAAAGGAAAGAACTATGGAAACAGAATATTTTTAGCATTATTGTTTTAGTATTCCTTTTCTCTCTCCCTCTCTGTCTCTCTTTCTTATCTCTGTCTCCCTCTCCCTCCCACCCTGTTTTAGGAAAGGGTACACTTATATGAAAGAGCTCAGCTGATTTTTGAGCCAGAGAGTCAGTGAGGTTACAAGTCAAAAAGAGAGATGGATATCATCTAAGGCTGATGCAGCAGAAGGATATAAACTGAAGTTGTCAGATGAGGGAGAGAAGTTGAAATGTTCAACTGTGCAACTCAGGTTTGCTAAAATAATAGTCAAGTCAGGATAATGGTTGTCAATTTGGGGAAAACGTACAAATTTAGGGGGATGGGTCATAGAGATTCATCAACCAAAGTGGAGTGCTGGCAGGACAAATGATAAGGGTATAGATCATTACTGTTGTAGAGATGGGGCCATTCCAGAGGTGGAGCCCTTCAAGGTGATCAAAAAATCCAAGATGTGGCCATGTTAGTGAAGTGGAGAGAAGAGGAGGGGGCCAAAGCCTGGGTGCAGTTTGGGAAGAGAAGAATGCTGATACATGTTCTGAAGTCCTTGACAAAAATGAGCTAGTGACCATAGGATGGTTCATGATAGTTCCCACAGTCTTCTTCCTTCACTCATTGTCATCAGCGTCTTTGAGTTTTCTGAATAACCTAAAAGCATATTCTGTTTTCTGAACTAATTTCCTCTTTTTCTATCATGAATATAGATGGAGAACAATTGACTGCTGTATCCTATGAGGGGCCTTCATCTTTTTGAGTGCTATTAATTTCCTCTTCAGTGTTCTCTTCCATCAACTGAGTAATCTAATTCCTTTTAATCTAGTTCAAGGCTTTCTTTCCCTCTTCATGATTTTCCATTTATTCTAAATTCATAAGTACTCTGGACATTGTTCCTTAATCCTAGCTAGGACTCAATCAGAGGAGCTGGAATTGGTTTTGACTTCAGTCTCCTGTGGTAGGTTCCTTTCTGTCTCTTATACAGGGAAAAACCATAAAGTCTAGAAAGATAAATTACTGTGTTCTAATATAATATTGATAAATAACTTGCATATTTGAATTTATGGTTACCCTGTTATTTCATTCTTAATTTTTACATCATGGTGTTGATTTTCTAATTGTTCCCTTGTTTATTATTTATGACAAACCATCATTTTTCAGTACCTTCTCTTCATGGTCAATCCCAAGATGCTCTACCTTGAAACTAGAGCTTCTCTTTAATGTTGTATTTTACCTCCTTCTCCTAGTTTCTAAGGGAAATTTGAATTCTGACCCCCAAACTATACTTTACTTTTTCAGTATTTTGTTAAACATTTTAATTAATATTGAACCAAAGAGGAGGACCATATTCATTTGGCTTTTTTGTATCAGTATATTTTGGCAGTGCTACTGCAACTTTGATTGGTGTAGCAGATTGTCTAATTAAGTAATTTCAATATCATAGCTGAAGCATTTTCAAGTGACGCTCCTCATGAAGATATCAATCAGCGTGTAGCGGCTAAAAACAAAGGTACGGATGAGGACCAGAATTTAAGAGATCAAATACAGCACAGGTTAGTTTAAAATTCATTGTCTTCTTGTTTCTTGTTCTGTGAATAAACTGGCAATTAGTCACTTTAGAATCATTAGATCTAGGGGGAAAATGTATTTCCTAGTGTTCAGTGTTTTATAGGTAAAACAAAACTAAGTAGCTTTGATATTGAGTGAAATATTTCTGTGCTAGCTTTTATATTCAGAGTATAAGTCATCATAGTCACAGGAAAAAAGAATTAAATCAAGCAACATTTCCCTTTATGGCTACATGAACTTACAAGTTCATTAGAGAGAATCCTAATTCAGCTCTCTTTCAACAAATGCCAATAAAGATCTTGGAATTTGAAAGATCTAGGCATCAGATTATAGAGTGTAGTTCTAAAACTAAACTGAAATTATGCTTAATAAGCATTCTTTGGGATGTATGCAGTTTGCTCATTGGAAAAGAAAAATTAAACAAAATTAAACAATGTTTTGAAAACTTGAGAACTCTGAAAACATGAGTTGAGGCAACAAAGAGGAATTTGACTCATGAGGCCTATCTACTCTCAGAGGACAAAACTCATTCCAAGAGTATGTTTGAGTAAAGCAAATTCCCGTGGACAGAGGAGTCTGGCAGGCTACAGTCCACTGGGTCACAAGAGTCATACATGACCTAGTGACTGACGAAACCACCACCACCAACACTTCCTCAAGGGTCTCTTGAACTTCTCTGTCTGTGAAAGAGTAGATAACCTATGTGGCTCAGGCTAGAGCTGCCAGCAGAAGGGTACTCAGTCTACCATGAGTACAGGTGATGGTTCCTTAGAACTTCATTTAGAAAACTAAACCCACATCAAAGTTTTCCTGAAATGGTAGAATTTCCAAATCTTCTCTGACTGTCTCCTATACCTCAAAACATATGGCTAGTTGGCATTAACTGATGTCTTCTTTAAAGTGGATGTATTTCATTGCCTGTAGACTTCTTAAAGTTGCCTTTTTCAGATATGATGGCAGCTGGTTTTTTCATCATGTACATCAGATAAATCATGCTTAATGTTACTCCAACATTTCAATCAGTATATGATATTCATATGTGATATATATGATATATTCAATATGTGATATTCACATATTCAGTATGTGATATTCATGTAATTCATGATATTATATTCATATAATATTTGGGTTTTGCAGAATTGTAGGCTTCCTTGACAACTGGCCTTCATTGGAGCAGTGGTTTACAGAGCCAGAAAACATTTTGATAAAAATCAATGCTGAAGTAGATAAACAGTCATTGTGCCAAAAAGTAAAGGAAATGTTTATGACTGAAATAATGAAAAAAGAAAATAAAGGTAATTACAATTCTTTTATAATTTTGAGTTTATGTAGCAAAAATGTAATGTGTGGTTTTGATGAGCTTAGGAAGAAATGAAATGTTACCCTTTTGTTTATCAGTCATCCCTGACTACACTGACAACTGTAATTTCTTGGTATAATAAAAAGTGGTCAAAATTAACAATATCACAAAGGTTCTAAAACTGCCTTGGTAGAATGCTTTCTCCCATCCCCAGATTTGTGACCTAACTTCTATGATTTATCAGTGAACTGACACCAAAATAGTGCAAGCCACAATTACCTTGGAAACCCAGGAGTTCACACTTAGAAAGACAAGCTTCCACATCTAAATTCCCACTCCCCCAAAACATCCATGTGAAACTTTCATACAAAGCAAATATATTATAAATAGGCTTAACATGTTATTTTGACTGTCAGAAATTAGGCTGAGAGGAGGAAGGTAACCTCTAGAGTTCAGACTGAAAAGCAAAAACAAATTGAATCTAGGTTGTAGCTTCAACGAGACTGACCCAGATTTGCCTGGGACTGTCCAGGAGTCTCCAGCAGAGGTGTGGGTCAGCGGTGGCCTGATGCTGGGTTGGGGGCAATGAGTGTAGCAGTACATGCATGGAATCTTTTAAAGGAGGTCACCATTATCTTCATTACCTCCACCATAGTTTGGCCCCAGGTAAATAGCAGGAAGGGAACACATCTCCACCCATCAACAGAAAATTAGATTAATGATTTACTGAGCATGGCCCCGCCCATCAACAAGACCCCATTTCACCCTCAGTCTCTCCCATGAGGAAGCTTCCATAAGCCTCATATCCTTCTCCATCAGAAGGCAGACAGACTGAAAACCACAATGACAGAAAACTAACCAATTGATCACATGGACCACAGTCTTGTCTAACTCAATGAAACTATGAGCCATCCCATGTAGGGCCACCCAAGACGAATGGGTCATGGTGGAGAGTTCTGACAAAAAGTGGTCCACAGAGAAGGGAATGGCAAACCACTTCAGTATCCTTGCCTTGAGAACCCCATGAACAGTATGAAAAAGCAAAAAGATAGAGGACACTGAAAGATGAACTCCCCAGGTCAGTACATGCCCAATATGCTACTGGAGATCAGTGGAGAAATAACTCCAGAATGAAGAGACAGAGCCAAAGCAAAAACAACACCCAGTTGTGGATGTGACTGGTGATGGAAACAAGGTCTGATGCTATAAAGAGCAATATTGCATGGGAACCAGGAATGTTATGTCCATGAATCAAGGGAAATTGGAAGTGGTCAAACAGGAGATGGCAAGAGTGAATGTTGACATTTTAGGAATCAATGAACTAAAATGGACTGGAATGGGTGAATTTAAATCAGATGACCATTATATCTACTACTGTGGGCAAGAATCCCTTAGAAGAAATGGAGTAGCCATCATAGTAAAAAAAGATTCAGAAATGCAGTACTTGGATGCCATCTCAAAAATGACAGAATGATCTCTGTTCGTTTCCAAAGCAAACCATTTAATATCACAGTAATCCAAGTCTCTGCCCCAACCAGTAATGCTGAAGAGGCTGAAGTTCATCGGTTCTATGAAGACCTACAAGACCTTCTAGAACTAATACCCAAAAAAGATGTCCTTTTCATTATAGGGGACTGGAATGCTAAAGTGGGAACTCAAGAAACATCTGGAGTAACAGGCAACTTTGGCCTTGGCATACAGAATGAAGCAGGGCAAAGGCTAACAGAGTTTTGCCAAGAGAACATAGTGGTCATAGCAAACACCGTCTTCCAACAACACAAGAGAAAACTCTACACGTGTACATCACCAGATGGTCAATGCCAAAATCAGATTGATTATAGTCTTTGCAGCCAAAGACGGAAAAGCTCTATACAGTCAGCAAAAACAAGACTGGGACCTGACTGTGGCTCCGATCATGATCTCCTTACTGCAAAATTCAGACTTAAATTGTAGAAAGTAGGGAAAACCACTAAATCATTCAGGTATGACCTAAATCAAATCCCTTACAATTGTACAGTGGAAGTGAGAAATAGATTCAAGGGATTAGATCTGATAGACAGAGTGCCTGATGAACTATGGACAGAGGTTTGTGACATTGTACAGGAGACAGGGATCAAGACCATCCCCAAGAAAAAGAAATGCAAAGAAGCAAAATGGCTGTCTGAGGAGTCCTTCCAAATAGCTGTGAAAAGAAGAGAAGTGAAAAGCAAAGGAGAAAAGGAAAGATATACCCATTTGAATGCAAAGTTCCAAAGAATAGTAAGGAGAGAAAAGAAAGCCTTCCTCAGTGATCAGTGCAAAGAAATAAAGGAGAAAAACAGAATGGGAAAGACTAGAGATCTCTTCAAGAAAATTACAGATACCAAGGGGACATTTCATGCAAAGATGGGCTCAATAAAGGACAGAAATGGTATAGACCTAACAGAAGCAGAAGATATTAGAAGAGGTGACAAGAATACACAGAAGAACTATATAAAAAAGATCTTCACGACCCAGATAATCACGATGGTGTGATCACTCACCTAGAGCCAGACATTCTGGAATGCAAAGTCACGTGGACCTTAGAAAGCATCACTACGAACAAGGCTAGTCGAGGTGATGGAATTCCAGTTGAGCTATTTCAAATCCTGAAAGATGACGCTATGAAAGTGCTGCGCTCACTAAGCCAGCACTAAGCACTAAGCAAATTTGGAAAACTCAGTAGTGGCCACAGGACTGGGAAAGGTCAGTTTTCATTCCAATCACAAAGAAAGGAAATCCCAAAGAATGCTCAAACTACCACAGAATNTGGGCTCCAAAATCACTGCAGATGGTGACTGCAGCCATGAAATTAAAAGACGCTTACTCCTTGGAAGAAAAGTTATGACCAACCTAGACAGCATATTAAGAAGCAGAGGCATTACTTTGCCAACAAAGTTTCACCTAGTCAAGGCTATGGTTTTTCCAGTAGTCATGTATGGATGTGACAGTTTAACTATAAAGAAAGCTGAGCACCAAAGAATTGATGCTTTTGAACTGTGGTTTTGGAGAAGACTCTTGAGAGTCCCTTGGACTGCAAGGAGATAGAACCAGTCTGTCTTAAAGGAAATCAGTTCTGAATATTCATTGGAAGGACTGATGCTGAAGCTGAAATGCCAATCCTTTGGCCACCTTATGTGAAGAACTGACTCATTTGAAAAGACCCTGACCCTGGGAAAGATTGAAGACGAGAGGAGAAGGGGACAACAGAGGATGAGATGGTTGGATGGCATCAAACTCATCATGAGTTTGAGGCTCCAGGAGTTGGTGATGGACAGTGAGGCCTGGTGTGCTGCAGTCCATGGGGTTGCAAAGAGTCAGACATGACTGAGCGACTGAACTGAACTGAACTGTAGCTTCAAACATCTACAGATTTGAATCAGTGTTTGTGCCAGCTATCAGACTTACTCCAGCATTCTCCTAAAGATTTTCTATCCCGGTCACTTATCATGTGAACAGTCTCCACTGCCACTTATCTAAGATTTACGTTCCAATCCATTAATTATTTTTAACAAATATTTGTCATCAAAATAATAAACATTCACCTAGTCCAGTGCTCTGTACTAAGCATCCCAATTAAGTTAAAAACAAAAAATAAAAGGAGATGGTACTTCTATGAATAGTGTGCTGTTTTAAAATAATCATAATATACTATTAAGTGGGAAAAATCAGGTTACATTTAAATTGTCCCTTTTTTGTTTTTAAAAGTATATCTATTACTAAATTTGAGCTTGCCAGGTGGCTCAGTGGTATAGAATCTCTCTATGCAGGAGACATGGGTTCTGTCCCTGGGTTGGGAAGATTCCCTGGAGGCAACCCCCTCCAGTATTCCTGCTTGGCAAATCCCATGGACAGAGGAGCCTGGCGGGCTACAGTCCATGGGGTCGTGACAGAGTCAGACATGACTAAGGGATTAAAACAACAGCAACAATTATTAAATGTATGTGCACAGAAAATAGTGACAGTATATGCTAATAAAAAAACAAAATTCAACCCAGTAAATCTGAAGCTCTAACTGGCTTTATTCAACTATTCCTGATCAAACAGTGTCCCATATAACAACTAGAAGACACTCTGAAGGGAAGTAAAAAGTAGAAGTTTTCATAGACACGAGGGTGGAACAGGGAAGTCTTTAGCAAAAGGAGAAAAAAATGGTTATTTTGGGCCAGGACATCTTTTGGGGGAAGGGAACTGCCAGGGTCTTTGCCATGCAGATTGACTCCTCTTCTTTGATAAAGAAGGGAGGTGATATAGAGAGGGCCCACATGACAGATCATCTCATTGGTACCAACCAGAAAATTCCAAACTGATTGATTAAAATTATACTTCTGAGGAAGGTAGAAACTGCAGCTGAGGTAGGTAGCACAGGTTTGGTATCATGGACTTTATTTATTTAGCACTAGTGATGCCATTTTGGGCTTATGGTTTTCTCTTTAACAATAATACACTCTTTGATGGGGGGGCGGGGAGAAGGACGAAGGATGAAGAGAATTAACAAGAAATTTCTCTTTCAGCTTATTTATCTACACTGTCGAAATTTTAAAGGCAATAATTGTATATTACTTTCATAATTCAGAAAAGATACTAATTTCCAGTTTGAAAAAAAATCCGATAAATCCTCCTTGTCTTGCCAAGTTGAAAAGAATGATCTGAGGGCAATGGGAGAAATAGCCATACAAGGGTGCAGGTATTCACTGCCATCAGCACAGGGGTGAAGTTGTGGCCATTCCAGGGTGGAGCACCAGGAAGTCAGGGAGGGTGGGCAGGGCACGCTGGGTAAGGTAAGCCTGAATCCAGAGGGCAAAGGGCCCTAACAATTATCGGACCCTAGACAATCCAGAAACGCCCCCTCAGGACTCCAGCACGGTCTCCTCCGCCTGGAACGCACACTCCCTCAATCTCTTCAAGTCTTTGCTCAATTGCCGCCTTCTCAGTGGGTCTATCCTGCAAAGCACACCATTTAAACAAACTGTAAAAGCTGCCCCACAGCACTCCTGACGCACTTCCCTCTGCCCTATGCATTTTCTCTAGAGCACTTACCACCTTCCAGCTTCTTACGTGACTTACTTTGTTCATCATGTTTATGGTTTGCAAGCTTCACAAGGCAGTGATTTTTCTCTTTTGTTTTACTTTCGTATCTCTGGCAGCCACAACTGTGCCTAGCATTGTTTGTATTACTATTATTATTATTTACAGTATTGCTGTAGTTTTACCTATTGACGGTATTGGCACGCGTGCATGCTCAGTCCCTTCAGTCGTGTCCAACTCTTTGAAAAACCTATGGACCATAGCTTACCAGGCTCCTCTGTCCATGGGATTCTCCTGGCAAGAATACTGACTGGGTTGCCATGCCCTCCTCCAGGGGAGCTTCCCTACCCAGGGACTGAACCTGTGTCTGTTATGTCTCCTACATTGGCAGATGGGTTCTTTACCACCAGTGCCACCTGGGAAGCCCACAGTATTGGCATAGTTTTATCTTACTGTTGTAAGGCTTCCTTTCCTTCAGGGCACAACTGAGATTGAATAACTAGCTAGTGCATGAATGGGTGAATTCTGTTAAGCCTTATTTGAGTACTGAGCACCATTCTAAATGCTTTATATGTACTTACCCCTAGAAGTTGGTGCCGCATGCATTTCTTTTCACTTCTATGTCCTCCCGACCCCCACCTCTTCTGTTATATTGCTCTTCATCTTCTCTTTAGGCTTTTTTCACCTCGTTTATCCACTAGAAAATTTGACGTAATTCTTTACTTTCCTCTCCCAGTATATTAGCTAATTCTAGATTGTTAGTTTTATAATCGGCATCCTCTCAGCAAATCTTCTACCTACTATAGATACACACACACACACACACACACACACACACACACACACACATACATGTCATCACCATCTCCATCAGAGGCAGGGGTAATGGTATTTCTAACCAGACAGAGATGACTTCAAATGTCAGCTTTAAGGACTGGATAATTTAAAACATGAATTTAGCCTTAATTCAGAGAGTAATGAGAGCAATTTTATATTAAGTTAGGTTCACGTGAAATAGTTCACGTGAAATAGTAGGTGTCTGGAGTTGCTAATAAAGATCCATTCTTATCATCCTGCTTGAAGTGAAAAAGAAATTAGAAGAAAAGGAAGCTGAGAGAAAAGAAGAAGTTTCCCTGATTGAGAAGACGTCCTCGCCGCCTCCTCCCCCTCCCGCTCCAGAACCGGAAAAAGAGAAGGAAGTCCACCTTCCCCAGGAGCGGTCCAAAACTCCTGCTGCAAAAGGAAAGCAAGCATCAGGTGATTGACAGAGTGATTGCTACCCCTGTCTACCAGTTTCTCATTTTCACTTAGAAAGGAATTGTAAATGATAGTACCAGTCCATTTATCTATCAGTAGATTCAGGCTTTCAACAGTGTCAGTCATGTGAAAGGAAGCTGTCTGCTCAGATGAAGTGGGGAGGCAGCAGTAGCCGAGAGCGCAGCTGTCCCAAAGCGCAAGTACCTGACAATGTGGGATCCCTCCGTGCTGGCGCCCTCATGCCCAGATCTACTGGTTAGAATCAGACCACGGAGGAGAGAAGGGGAGGCACAGAGAGGATAACCGTAGGGAGCGTGGAGCAGGTCAAGGGGACAGACTTCTGTTTGCTGGAGTGGTAGAGCTGAGTTTATGAAGAGGGAGACCTCCGTACCAAAATGAGAACATAACCAGTTGCCCACAAGAACAAGGGAACAAATCAACAGCATCCATTAGAGACTAGAATATATATGTAACTGTTATTCTTTTGTGCTATGCAATTATAAAAGGCCAGAAACAAGCTCCCGACATCTCAGTAAACTTGTATCTTTATAACATATAGCATACATGGATAGTTTATATAGAGAATATTTTTTAGCATAAGTTCTTTCTGTATCCTTAACCACTATGGACCATGAAGTGGTAGAATATATAATGACAAAAGTGAAATGCTCAACTGTTGAAATGTATGATACTGGGAGCATGACAGGATCGACTTAGTGCTGTGTATATGAAGCAAACGTGACTTTAGTTTCTGGTTTCGGCTTTGTAAGTGGTCAGCTGTGCAGTAACACAAGTCTACCTAGGTTTGCTTGTTATTGTGTCATGATTGCATTTTTAAAGGCTATAATCTTTCTTCATGGAGATCAGAGATGGGTCTGATTTTTCAAAATTAAGTTTACTTATATTAAACAAATAAATTTGAAACCTTTAATAACATTTATTATGGTCTGCTAAAGATCATTATATTCCACAAAATGGGACTTAAGACAAAATACACAAAAATGTTTTTATCATATGAACAATAAAGCACAAAGCATTTAATTAAACATACATACTTTTTCCCTTTAAAAAACAAAACAGAGGTCTGGAGGACTAATGGAAACCTTAACAATGCTATTTAACTGGGAAAGACAATTTCCACAGAGGCTCAAGGGAGCCTGGCATTGTCCACCCAGGCCTCAAACCCAAGACCATGGCCCTCCCTCCCTTTCTTCACCTCAGCCTAATGACCAGGAGTATCTATGTACTGGAGCCATTCCCTGAAACCAATCTCTAGCAGTCTTCTAAGTTTCTGAAGTTTGCTTGTGAATTTAAAATTGTATAGTTGAATACTGTGCATTTGGAGGAATAATAAAGCTGTTGTTGCTTCAAAGAGTGCTTGTATCTGTCTCCTTCTTCCAGCAAGGGCAGGGCTACTGCCTGAGCTTTTAAAATGCACAGAAGGGTTCACCATCAGAGGCCTAATTACTGCCTTCCAACCGCAAGGCATCACTGTGAGATCTCAGTGCTAGTAGACACTGATGGGGCCACAGTGCAGGGCACACTGCCCTTACAGCTCGGGGGAGGTGGGATAAGTGGTTTTATGGAGGGAAGTTCCCAGTGGGTTTATTTATATTTATATTAAAAAATTTAGTGTTTTTCAAAAGAACACATTTTCAGAACTGAAAGCCAGAGGCTTCTGAACAAGCCCAAAGCAAACATCCAATTTCAGTGTTCTTTAAAAGTTGAGAGGAAAAGAGAAATGATTTACTAAAAAATAAAAAGCCAATGTGGAAATGGGGTAAAGAAGGAAGCATTGTACACTGAATACTAAAGGTCATTTTGCTCAAATACAGTTCTACAATGGAAACAGAGGCTATTTTGGTGGGGCTCCAAAATCACTGCAGATGGTGACTGCAGCCAAGAAATTAAAAGACACTTGCTCCTTGGAAGAAAAGCTGTGACCAACCTAGATAGCATATTAAAAAGCAGAGACATTACTTTGTCAACAAAGGTCTGTCTAGTCAAAGCTATGGTTTTTCCAGTAGACATGTATGGATGTGAGAGTTGGACTATAAAGAAAACTGAGTGCCTAAAAATTGATGCTTTTGAACTGTGGTGGTGGAGAAGACTCTTGAGAGTCCCTTGGACTGCAAAGAGATAGAACCAGTCCATCCTAAAGGAAATCAGTCCTGAATATTCATTGGAAGGACTGATGCTGAAGCTGAAACTCCAATACTTCGGGCCGCTGACTCATTGGAAAAGAACTTCATGCTGGGAAAGATTGAAGGCAGGAGGAGAAGGGGATGATAGTGGATGAGATGGTTGGATGGCATCACCAACTCAATGGACATGAGTTTGAGTAAGTTCCGGGAGTTGGTGTTGGTCAGGAAAGCCTGGCGTGCTGCAGTCCATGGGGGGTCCCAAAGAGTCGGACACGACTGAGTGACTGAACTGAACTGAACTGACAGCTTTACACTGTTTATGGGTTTGTTGACCTGAAATGAATAGAGCATCAGATATTTCTCCAGTGAAGATGGGTTTATTCAGAATTAGCAGGGAATGATAATGCAGGGTCTGCAACTATGGCAAGCCCTATATAAGTCCTCGTACGACAAGGAAAGGAGAATGCTTCTATAGAGGGAAAAGGAAGTTGGAAGGTCCATAGTACCCCATGAGTCCACGGCTTTTCATTGGCTGACTCCGTGTCAGGAAAGAAGAGGAGTCTGTCTTCCTCCTATTGGGTAATACTATCCTCTTAGGACCAAAGATCTCCCCCTTTTGGTTTCTCAACTCTGTTTAATTGCGATTTCTGTTTATTAATTTTTTACAGTTCTGCATTTTTTATCTTCTTCAAGTATCCTTGAGATTAAATTTTTAAAACTTCACAATTTTGCTCCATTAGAGAGTTTATTATCAAGTCCACTATCAAATGTCAGAATGTAATTTAAAACTAAAGTTCTGAGTGTGACAAAGCATGGTAGTGCTATCCATGCTGCTAAGAGTATATTTGGAGATTTCAGAATACATTTTGGAAATAATTTTTTCAAATAGGCAGAATTCATGCTACTCCCAGCAGAAATTAGACTTGCTCACAATATTTTATAAGTTCAGCATCTTAGGTGTCCCTATTTTCACCCCCTTTTCTGTTGCCTTCTGCTAAAGTTTAGAGCTAAAAAGTTGGTTACCCAGAGTATTGTTATTAAAGGTACTAAGAGGTTATCTAGACTTTTTTTATTAACCTTACCTCTTAAAAAAAAAACCTAATTCACACCTTTGGATTTATTTATTTATGAATGAGTTGGTGTTTAACTATTTAACTAGTTGGATGTTTAAAAGTCCTTTTATAGAGATTAACAAAAGAGGTTGTCTTATTTCTATGGAATCTTTGTTTTTGGAGCTAAGATATTTAAACATAAGTGATATGTTATGCATTTACACATTCTTATAACTGTCACTTCTAAACACGGAGAATAGGTCAGACAAACTCTGTCACAGACATTTAAATTGCCCCATATGTGCATCCTTACGATGAGGGGGAACAAACTGTAACCCAGGACAAATGGAGAAAGATGACTGAACTTGTTTGGTGAAATATGTGGGATGTAGTGATTTTTTCAAAAACCAAATTATTATTTGGGAAATCTTATTGACCTCCAGGTCATCAGTTTCCCATTTCCCCCTTTCCAGCATGTCTTTTAATTAGATTCCAGGGAATCCAATGTATATATTCCCAAACCATACTTTGTATTACAAGTTAACAGTCAAGGCACAATGGAATGTAAAAGTCACAAGGCAACCAAGTATGGGGTCAAGAGAACTTCAAGAATGTGCCATATCAAAATAATGTGTTTATTTAACTCTCCTTCAAAGTGTTTTGGCATCATTCTTATTATAGATCCAGTCATCTTATTGTATAACCATCCTTTCAGTGAACTATATCCAAATGCTAATAGAGCCATCTGCTTCAAATGTACTTGTGACTAACTTTTAAAATTCTGCATGTATGTTGCATTAAAGAGTTTATAATCAAACTCACTGACAAACCTAGACAGTGTGTTAAAAAGCAAAGACATCACTTTGCTGACAAAGGTCTGTATGGTTAAGTCTATAGTCTTTCCAGTGGTCACGTACTGTTGTGAGAGGTGGACCATAAAGAAGGCAGAGCACCGAAGAATTGATGCTTTCGAACTGTGGTGCTGGACAAGACTGTTGAGAGTCCCTTGAACGGCAAGGCGATCAAATCAGTCAATCTTAAAGGAAATCAACCCTGAAGGATTGATGCTGAAGTTGAAGCTCCAGTACTTTGGCCACTTGATGGGAAGAGCTGACTTATTGGAAAAGACCCTGATGCTGGGAAAGATTGAAGGCAGAAGGAGAAGGAGGTGACAGAGGATGAGATGGTTGGATGGCGTCACCAACAGAATGGACATGAATTTGGACAAACTCTGGGAAATGGTGAGGGACAGGGAGGCCTGGTGTGCTGCAGTCCATGGGGTCAAAAATAGTCAGATGTGACTTAGCAACTGAACAACAACAAGCAAATTCACTACTAAATGCTAATGTTAAACTTAGGACTCAACTTCTCAATGTCACAAAATAGAATAGTCCTATCAGGGTTGTCATTCAAGAATTTTCAATCCATAGTCCAACTTCAGATTAACTTTAACTCACACTAAAAGTCTGAGCCATTTTAGGCAGTTCACAAATATAGCTGTTTTGAGAAATCACATTTGATTACTTACAAATCATAACCCAGCTATCAAAAAAAATCATAAATGATATTTATGTGTTAAATTTTGTTTAGAACCCCCGCATGGTAATCGAGAACCTCTTCAGGAAGGAAAAGGGAAGAAAAGTGAAACTTCACTCAAAAGAAAAGGTACAGATTAAGATAAATATGATTAAATATAATTCTGCATTTTATAACTCTCAGTGAAAATAGTGATATTTATGTAGTAATGTATGTTGAACCCTTCTTTCAGGCATTTGTCAATTATAAACCCTTGCCAAAGAAAACCTCAGTCTTTCTGTAGCCTGGCTCTTAGCAAAGGTCCTGCTGAGGAAAATGATGCTTGTGAGGAATAATTTAGAGGATATGCAAGAGTACTGGAGTGAGGCACCATTACCTTCTCTGATATCTAAGATACAGAATATTCAATCATCATAAATATTCTAAGTGTTATCCTTAGGCTAAGTTATGCCATCAGAAAACTACATACTGAACCATATTTTCTTGGAAAGATTCCATGAAATTGCTTTTACTGAAAAGTTCTTTGACATAAAGTCCTCAACACAGCAGCAGTGGAGATAGTTTCATTATACTACTAATAACCTGGTATTTCATTTTCTGAAGGGATAGCATGCCCATTACATCATTCAGTGGCCTCTGTGTAAAATCCTAGGTGGGAAATTTCATTCAGAAGAAGGGACTGGAGAATATTTCTTCCTCTACATGGCTAAATAATTAGTACCTCTAAATGATAGCACTGCCTTTTCTATATTGGCTGTCTAGAAATTCAGAACCAAATTAGCGTCTAAGATTTTAGTTTCTAAGCAAAAACCTGTATCCTGGAGTCTGCTTTCTAATTCCTCTACTTGCCTTGCCCTTCTAATTTAGGTTGTATTTTTCCTGATCTAGTTTCATTTATTTTCTATCTTAACTGTTTCTGTGAAATAAGGGGAATAAAATTTTGTGAATAATTGATAGTTGGCAGGAGAAATACCAGGCTTCTAAAAGCATATTAGTTACATTGTATGTTGAACCCACTGGGCTTCCCAGGTGGCTCAGTAATAGAGAATCCTCCTGCCAACGCAGGAGACAGGTTCGATCCCTGGATTGGGAAGATCCCGGGGAAAAGAAAACGGCAACCCACTCCAGTATTCTTGCCTGGGAAATCCCATGGACAAGAGAAGCCTGCTGGACTACAGTCCATGGGGTTGCAAAAGAGTCAATCATGACTTAATGACTAAACAACAATAGTGTTGAAGCTGCTGCATATGTGCCTGATCAGTCTTTTTTTTTGTTTTTCCTTTATTTTTTATTAGTTGGAGGCTAATTACTTTACAATATTGTAGTGGTTTTCGCCAGTCTTTAAGCTGTGTCTGACTCTTTGAAACTCTATGGACTGTAACCCAACAGGCTTCTTTGTCCATGGAGTTTCTCAGGCAAGACTACTTGAGTGAGTTACCATTTTCTTCTTCAGTTAATCTTCTCAGCCTAGGGATCGAACCCACATCTCATGCATTGGCAGGTGAATTCTTTACCACTGAGCCACCAGGAAAGCCCTGGAGCTGCTACAGCAACAAATTAAAGATGGAAATGCAGTTATGGATACATGCAGTTGACTTCTGCAGAGTACATGCTCAGGGGGTTGTCATGAAGTATGTGCCACTGCTTAATTTTTCATTACAGACTGCCAGTGCAATAGAAGCCCAAAAATGTGCAATGTTCACAAAATGATGGGCTTAAAAGCATCTCTATTTTGGCATTCGAAAATGCATATCCATAATTCTCAAAGAATCTCACCCTTTTCTGATTATATAACCTGATAGGTTTATGTAACTAGTCATTGTTGAGTTACCATTGGTAAGATTAAAAATTTAGCTAGAGTTTTGGCTATAATTTATGATATGCTTTCTCTCACCTGTTTACAAATAGGAAAATAGTTTTCACTTTTACATTACGAATCCCTTACTTTCTCATTGTGATCAGCAAAAGCAAATGAAAGATCTGCACAGAATCATCAAAAATAGAAATGACATATACTTATGCATTGTTGTGGTTTTTCAGTCACTCAGTCGTGTCCAGCTTTTTGTGATCCCAAGGACTGCAGCACACCAGGCTTCCCTGTCCTTCACTATCTCCCAGGGTTTGCTCAAACTCATGCCCATTGAGTCAGTGATGCTATCTAACCATCTTATCCTCTGTCATCCCCTTCTCTTCCTGCCCTCATTCTTTGCCAGCATCAGGGTCTTTTCCAATGAGTGGGCTCTTCATATCAAGTGGCCCAAGTCCTGGGGCCTCAGCTTCAGTATCAGTCCTTCCAATGAGTATTCAGGGTCGATTTCCTGGTTTGATCTCCTTGCAGTCCAAGGGACTCTCAGGAGTCTTCTCCAGCACCACAGTTTGAAAGCATCAGTTTTTAGGTCATCAGCCTTCCTGACGGTCCAACTCTCACATCCATACATGACTACTGGAAAAGCCATGGCTTTGACTGTATAGACCTTTGTCAGCTGTTGGTGAAGTGATGTCTCTGCTCTTTAATATGCTGTCTTGGTTTGTCATAACTTTCCTTCCAAGGAGCAAGAGTCTTTTAATTTCATGACTGCAGTCACCATCCACAGTCATCTTGGAACCCAAGAAAATAAAATCTGTCACTGTTTCCACTTTTTTCCTTCTATTTGCCATCAAGTGATAGGACCAGATGCCAGTATCCTAGTTTTTTGAATGTTGAGTTTTAAGGTAGCTTTTTCATTCTCCTCTTTCTCCCTCATCAAAAGATACTTTAGCTCCTCTTCGCTTTCTGTCGTTAGAGTGGTATCATCTGCATATCTGAGGTTATTGATAATTCTGGCAGTCTTGATTCTAGCTTGTAATTCATCCAGCCCAGCATTTTGCATGATGTACTCTGCATATAGGTTAAATAAGCAGGGTGACATTATACAACCTTGACATACTTCTTTCCCAATTTTGAATCAGCCCTTTGTTACACGTCTGGTTCTAACTGTTGCTTCTTGACCTGCATACAGGTTTCTCTGGAGACAGGTAAGGTGCACTGGTTTTCCCATCTCTTTAAGAATTTTCCACAGTTTGTTGTGATCCACACCGTCAAAGGCTTTAGTGTAGTCAATGAAGCAGTAGATGTTTTTCTGGAATTCCTTTGTTTTCTCTATGATCTAATGAACGTTGGCAATTGATTTCTGGTTCCTCTGCCTTTTCTAAACTCAGCTTGTACATCTGGAAGTTCTCTGTTCACATACTGCTGAAGCCTAGCTTGAAGGATCTTGAGCATTACCTTGCTAGTGTGTGAGATGAGCACAGCTGTATGGTAGCTTGAACATTCTTCGACATTGCTCTTCTTTGGAAGTAAAATGAAAACTTACCTTTTCCAGTCCTGTCCAAATCATCAAGTTAGACCTAATAATGCACATGCTTTGAGAGCATCTTTAGGTAAAAGTATATTCACACGAACCATAAGCAAATACAACTTCACCCAGCAAAATATATACTCATTTAAATCATGCAGTTAGCTCCGTTTAAGTAAATTCAAGAACTCTTTTTTTTCTTTTATTTTACCAGTCTGTTTCTATTTCCATAAACATAGTTTCTACTGTATTGAATAATATTTGAAATAGATGAACTCTTGATCAAGATTTAGAAGTCTTTCTTCCACGTAGAAGTACTGTTGTTTTGGCATGTATAATGGGATTTACTTCATTAAGAGGAAGTCTTAGTAATCTTAATTCTTTATATTTGGAACTAATACCTTTGGGAGGTGAATACTATTAATTGGTTATCTGTTTACTTCACAAGCTATTTGATACCAATTAATTAAATTAAAAGCATGGCTTGAGGAGCTACCTCCTTTTTCCTTCCTTCAAACTTATCCTTGTTTCCTGTTGTTGGCATCTTTGACTCATCTTTACTTTTCTCTGCATATTAGATCAATCCCTACCCTTCTCCCTGCTAATCTTGACACTGAAATGCCATTTGCAATTGTACTTATGGTATTCTTAAAGAATTTATTATCTTCAACCATTTGTCTTGGCCCTATTTTATTCCTTCATAAAATAAGGACTTTTCTACTCTGTGACCTTACCTAGGAGGTATTACATAAGGGCTAATTGAAGAGTTTTCCTTAATCAACCAGTTTCAGAAAAATATTGTGTTACACCAAGTTAAAATATATTTACTCTCCACTGAGACAGATGTTGATAATAGATGTGTATGTCCTATGATCATCTATATCTAAGGCAGTGGGAGGCACACTATGTAATATCTCAGACATGTGACTGCAGAACTCTCTCAGAGGAGTATCTGCTGGGACTAAAAAGTGAAAGTGTTTGTTGCTCAGACATGTCTGCCTCTTTGAGACCCCATAGACTGTAGCCCACCAAGCTCCTTTGTCAAAGGATTCTCCAGGCAAGAATACTGGAATGGGTTGCCATTTCCTTCTCCAGAGGATCTTCCCAACCCAGGGAATCGGACCTGGGTCTCTGGTATTGCAGGCAGATTCTTTACCATCTGAGCCACCAGGGAAGCCCCTGTTGGGACTAGAGTTCTATAAATAAATGCTTGGAAACCTCATCCTCTTTAGTTCTGTCAGCCTGCCCATGTATTAGTATTGGGACTGTTCCAGTGCTAGCCTTCTGATTTAACTTATAGTTTAGGTGCTACCAAGCCACTTAGCCATAAATATTTTGTCAATGTTATAAACATTAATGACATTTAATTGTAAGGATATGGAAGAACATAGTAAAAAAGATGAAAGTGAAATGGAATTGAAATCCCTTAGATCATCTATATGCCAGGCACTATGCAAGATCATTTTTATGTATAATCTCCCTAAATCCTCATAACCACCTGTGAAGTAGCAATGATCATTTCCCACTTCAAAGATGAGGAAATTGAGAGTCAAAATAAATAAGGTAATATTTTGTTAGGAATGATTAATCTGAGAGAAGGGGAAGTCAGAGCCTCTTTACACTTTGGTGAATGCAATCTATACTCCATATTAACTCTCCACAGTGTTCTCAGAACTTCCTTGGATTTTGCCTTAACACCATCATCTAATTTAAATGAATTAAATAATATTATCTGTGCTCTATTATCTAGCCTTTCAATTAATTGATTTCTCAGACTGTAACTTTTAATAGATTTTTCACCACAAGCAGAAAAATTAAATTGTAACAATTATAATGCAATGTAAATAGAACAGTCTTAAAATCAATTTATGAGTCAAGTAAATAGTATTAAAAGGACAACTCTAAAACTTGCAGATTTCTAAATATCAGCCTAATGAACACTTCTGAACATGATTTACATCAATGGACTCTAAAGGCAATCAAATATGATAGTCAAATGCATGGACCCTGGAGTCAGCCTGCCTGGACTGAGATTCTAGCTCTGCCTGTTTACCATCTAAATGGCATCCAGGTGACTAAGGGCAGACAACTTGACCTTAGCTTGTCTCAGTTCCCTTGTGTGTAAAATGAGGTCGTAAAAGTACTTCCCTGTGGCTATTACAAGGAATAAGTAAATATACAAAACAACAGGATCCTGCTCAGAGTACATGGGACTAAATAAACGTGGGATATAATTATTGATTCCAGATCAGGTTATTAGAGACTATGGGCAGAAAGGCAAATCCTTTGCAAAGTTGACTTAAGGAGTTCCCAGTGTTTATCACTGATTATAATTATACTAAAATCAGATCCTATCTGTTCAGTTCAGTCACTCAGTTGTGTCAAACTCTTTGCAACCTCATGAATAGCAGCATGCCAGACCTCCCTGTCCATCACCAATCAGGAGCTTACTCAAACTCATGTCCATCAAGTCGGTGATGCCATCTAGCCATCTCATCCTCTCTCGTCCCCTTCTCCTCCTGCCCCCAACCCCTCCCAGCATCAGGGTCTTTTCCAGTGAGTCAACTCTTCGCATGAGGTGGCCAAAGTATTAGAGTTTCAGCTTCAGCATCAGTCTTTCCAATGAATATTCAGGGATGATTTCCTTTGGGATTGACTGGNAACATCTTAGAAACCTTCACATGGTCACATGAGTAATACTTTAAAAGGGCTGCCTTTTTGTTTTGTTTTGTTTTTGTTTTTATTTATTTATTTTTATTAGTTGGAGGCTAATTACTTCACAATATTGTAGTGGTTTGTAAATTTGAGATGTTGATAGATTTTGTTCAAATGTGATATCTATTTTCACTCACTATGCCAATAGATAAATTTTAATTCATTCACATCTTTTCCTCTTAGCATTTTGATTGTTTAAAACAATTAGATAAAATCTAAATAAGATCAAAGCACAGTGGTTCAAAAATACTTCCTAGCTTTCTTAGTTTTCACTGAATGATCATGATATGTAAGAAAAGAAGAAAAAGAAACTCATTCCAATCTCATAGTTACAAAGTTATCCTTAGAAATTCTCCTTAGAGAAATTCATCTTAAAGTAGTGATAGTGTTATCACATATTTTACCAGAAACTCAGGTCAGAGAATAAAAAAATTATCATATAGAAAAATGTCTCAAATTATGAGCATTTTTGGTTATTACCTGAATAAAGATGTTCTTAAATTTTTCTAATTTGAAATAAAATCTAGATACAACTTTAAACTTGTAGATAGCCATACTGTTTTTAGCACTGAACTGTCCACAGTACATAATTGATAATTTCTCCTCTACTTATAATCCATATGTTTTTAACTAGTATAAAAATGGAAGATGTATTTACTTTCCTAAACAGCACTTCATAAATAATATTCACTAAAGAAATATATTTTGAGGAAAGAAAGTGCTGCAAATTCTATAGGCATCTATAAACTGCGTCTAAAATCTTAACAACGAATCTGAAAGTAAGTTAAATTTAAACTGAATGAATTCCTAAATTATAACTTTGATCCTTTAAGGAAATATAGGTGCTTTCTGAGTTAAGGTAGTTTCTTCAGTCACAAGATCTTTCAGACCACATGGGTACCTCTTCATTGGCCTGAAATCCCCCTTGATGTTCTCAGATAGTGCATACCCTTTCTGGATTCTGAGCTAAAATGAGGCCTTTCTTTCTGCTCCTCCAACCTCCTTTTCTTCCTCCTTCTCTTCCTTCCCCTCTCTTTCCCTTCTCACTCTTACTCTCCCCTCCCCTCCCTCTCCCCACCACCTTATGCCTTAATTCAGCCAGGCTTTTGGCACAGGGGTTGCCTTCATCCATACAACCTGACTGTAGTAAGAAATATAGTTTCCCTAATTAGAAACCCTCTGTCTGATCCAGGGAATATGGAACTATTCAAGAGCTACAATACCCCTTCTTCTCCGCTCCCTCCCTCACTGACTCACAATAGCATCCTTTCTCCCGGCAGTTTCTCCTGGGTTTCAGTAAACACCAAGAGCACTGCTCCTGTTGTGACTATCCTCTTTCTTTTTCAAATTGATAGTTCAATTTGCCAGTTTTTTGCAATAGTAAATTGCACTTTTCTCTGGAGTCTAAACTTTGTAAAAAAAAAAAAATCATATGTTCATTGTGGAAGCAAGGACAGAGATGAAAATGAAATATCAAGTTGCTTTCCATAGCTAACTGGACAAGAGAAGTACAGTATTGCTTAAAATAAATAAATAACCTCCTGTTGGTATCATTGGTACAATTAGGGGCTGTAGAGAATGAGGTTTTTTTTTAATTTTTGATTTGATAAGGCTGCCCAAATTTGCTTAAAGAGTAGTTAATGAATTACTTGAAGCTCATAGCAATCATAAGTTTAATCCTCCATCAGAATCTGTCCCCATCCATATCCTTGTAATGGCATGATTTAATATGCATATTGAAGGTTCTCCTAGAGGAAAATCGCTAGGAGGGAAGATTCCACTCAAGAAATCACCTGCCGAGTCTACAGATGTTTCACCAGTCCCAGTAGTGCCAGCCCCAGCGAAGCCCGGATCAGAGGAGTGGGTGTATGTAAATGAACCAATTCCTGAGGTATGGCAGTTTAGACTCAAACTAGTAGAATCTCTTCTTTCTCCTCTTTATAGTAAGATTCACATCATTATTTGCACCATCCAAAATGCCTTTCTTGGCTGATAATATATGTATTTATCAAAAAGCAGAGATGATTGTTTGAGGATACTCAGTGAACCACATTCCATATTTTTCTCTGCACCCTCGAGTTTCTGAGTCATGCTTTGAGCGGCTGGTGAGTGACACAATCAGGAGAGTAAATGGTCTCCGTGAGGACCAATTTTCTCCCCAAGGATGAGCAGAGATGCAATTTTCTGGAAGGACAGCTTCCCCAGAACACAGACCCAGCAAATTACAGCCCTCCAACCCAGCTCTCATGCCCACATCATAATGCTTTCATTTGAAGTTTAACCCCTGAATTTTTAGAAATAGAAGGAAAATTTTGAAGCTAACTCAACTCATAAGTGGGTAGGGAGCTGCCTGGCCTGACCTCCTTAATAAATGGGTACCCTAGTGTCCAGCACAGAGAAGGCATCCCACTCCAGTTCTCTTGCCTGGAAAATCCCATGGACGGAAGAGCCTGGTAGGCTGTGGTCCATGGGGTTGCTAAGAGTTGGACACGACTGAGCGACTGCACTTTCACTTTTCACTTTCATGCATTGGAAAAGGAAATGGCAACCCACTCCAGTGTTCTTGCCTGGAGAATCCCAGGGACGGGGGAGCCTGGTGGGCTGCCTTCCAGGGGGTGGCACAGAGTCGGACACGACTGAAGTGACTTAGCAGCAGCAGTGTCCGGCAAAGGGATGTCCAGCTGAGCCCTGGAGCTTCATTTGGTTCTTCATTCTCTGATAGCTGCAAAGCCCAGTTGCCACCTTGGCAAACTGGGCTGCTTTTTAAATGATTATTACTAATTTTTACTGGAGTATAGTTGCTATGCAATACTCTATTAGTTTCTGCTGTATAGCAAAGTGAATCAGCTGTGTGTTTACATAGATCCCCTCTTTTTTGGGATTTCCTTCCCATTTAGGTCACCACAGAACACTGAGTAGATGGGCTGCTTTAATAGATAAGTCATCTTGGGAAAATCACACAGAATGACCTTTCAAGACTTTTTGAAAGCCTTAGTCCCTGTCTTCTTAATTTCAGTCCTCCATGGTTTTCGACTCTTGTGAACTCTCAGCCCTGACAATCTGTGCCAGACACTTGAGACCCAGTCATGAGTTGTAGTTATTATTGAGCATTCCTAGGGAAATGTCTTCTTTATCTCCCCAATTAAATAATAAACCCTTTGGAGGAGGGTAGAAGGATGTGAAATAATTCACTGCATTTAATACAGAGCCAAATACAGTGACGACTATGTTAGAGATTCTTCATAGAGCTCTGAAGAGTTAATTAATTAGCCTTGATGGGGAGATTAGAACAGGAAATATTAGAAGATGAAAACTTTATATGATATCAATATAGATGTGTATAATTCACTCAGCCAAATAGTAGCTACTTTGAAAACTAAATATATTCAAAAACTGTCATAGAAGCAGTATTCAGAAGTGGTTGATGGGAAGGAGATAAGATTAAAATGATATTATTGGGCAGGAGTTGGACAGTGAGAGATGAATATAGTGAAATCTAATCCTTAACTCAAAACCTTGATGCCCTTGAGAGAAATAAATTCATAGAGGACAAGAGGGAACTAAAAGACAGGAGTACAAAATAAACATTTACACTGAGATAAGACGCAAGCTTCCCTTGTATTAGATCTTCTAGTCAGGATCCTGGCAGAAAGCAGATGATAATTTAAAGACAACTGAACAAAGGCTGATTTATATATATATATATATGTAAGTGCTATGTCACTTCAATCATACCTCTTTCATGACCTTATGGGTTGCAGCCCACCAGGCTCCTCTGTCCATGGAATTTTGCAAACAAGAATACTTGAGTGGCTTGCCATGCCCTACTCCAGGGGATCTTCCTGACCCAAGGATCAAACCCTCATCACCTGCATCGCAGGTGGGCTTTTCACCCATTGAGCCACCCGAAAGCCTGTATATATGTTTGTGTGTGTGTATATATATGTGTGTGTGTGTGTGTGTGTGTGTATGAAAGAAAAAGTGAAAGTCATGTCTGACTCTTTGCAACCCCATGGACTATACAGTCCATGGAATTCTGCAGGCCAGAAGTGGGTAGCCATTCCCTTCTCCAGGGGATCTTCCCAACCCAGGGATCGAACCCAGGTCTCCCACATTTCAGGCGAATTCTTTACCAGTTTAGCCACCAGGGAAGCCNATTCCCTTCTCCAGGGGATCTTCCCAACCCAGGGATCGAACCCAGGTCTCCCACATTTCAGGCGAATTCTTTACCAGTTTAGCCACCAGGGAAGCCCAAGTATTCTGGAGTGGATACCCTGTCTCTTCTTCAGGGGATCTTTCTGACCCAGGAATCAAACTGAGGTTTCCTGCATTGCAGGTGGATTCTTTACCAACTGAGCTACCAGGGAAGCTCGTGTGTGTGTGTGTGTGTGTGTGTGTGTGTGTGTGTGTATTCAATAAATAAGGAAATCTATAAGGGTTAGATTGTTATCCCCAGTGGGAGCTATTATTGCTCCTGGGCCTGAGAAGGTGAGGCCTGGGAACGCAGGTGAAGACCTCAAGAAGACCTGTACAGAGAGAGAACCACCTGCCAGGGACTGTGGCCTTCCCAGGGGATGCAGCCCCTGCAGCGACCAGCAGGGAGGAGCAGGGAAACACTTAACCAGGACTCGTGTCCTTCCTGTTTTCATGGTCCCTGCCCGGGAGGAGGGAGGCAAGGGAGTTTCCGGAAGTAATTTACGTGAGTCGGCCTCCCAGGGCACCAAGCAGGGCGAAGCGTGAAGGATGGGGAGTCAGTCTGCAGGGACGATGGAAGGATACACAGCCCAGACCTCCAGTTACCTAAGTGAAACCAGGGACAGTACTCCTTCTGCTGTGACCAGAAGTAGCCTAGAACCTGGAAACAAAGCAGGCCACATGCTCTACTCTACTCCTCTTCCACTCTAAGCTTCTCACATGTGAGCTGCAAGGCTTACCTGCAAACAGAGAGGAAAGACAGATGCCCAGTTAAAAAATTTGAGTTTTAGATAATCAATGAAATAGATATATATGTGCATAATCAATTATATATATATATATGTTCATCCTATACTTTATCAGGTAAACCTAGTTCCAAGCCTTCCAGGGACCCCAGATGTACTTCGATAGGCATGTGGAAAGACACAGAGACAGAAAGTTGTTGCTTCCACATCTGGTTCTTGCAGGTGGAGGCAGCAACCAAGTTCGAGGGGAACCTGGGTCCTTCCCCCTTTGCCAGCCACAAGGAAGGTGCAGAGAAAACCAAGGAGGCAGTGGAGTGAGGGGTCTTTGCTTTCTAGCTTCTCAAGCTTGGAGAATACTTGCCTTGGCTACCCAATTTCCTATTATGCTTCAGTCAATGAAGAGAAGACTAATTGGAAAGGATAGGTCTTAGCATCTAGTCATAGCACATAACCTCAAATCCCTAGACCCAGAAAAATCACATCCCAGAGAATTAAAGAAACTACAGATAGACATTATCAATAACTCACAGAAATCACAGAAGATACAGTATAATCTGGAAGATCAGATATGGGCAAAGGCCTAAATATTGAAGGTGGATGAGATTTAATAGCATGTCTTCCCACATTGCAGGCAGATACTTTATCATCTGAGCCACAAGGAAAGCCCAAGACCAGTGATCCAGAGATGAATCCTTGACAAAATGTAAAAGAAAATTATTAAACACATGCTTTCTGAACACTTATAACATACAAAATAATCACACAAAGCTCAGATAGGTTCATTAAGCCTGAGTCCTGCTGAACTGGCCCTTTCCTTTTCTCTGATAGCAAGGTTGGGTTGGTGGGTCAGGGAAGGACCATAAACATAGTATATTTTGGTTTCAAAATAGTATTTGACAATTTCTTATGAAGTTTTTGTAGATAAATGAGAGCAGTGAGCAGGATATTCAACGAGGTCCATTCCTGGGTGGTAACTCTCCAAGCACTGAGTGTTAATGTCTTGAAGTCACTAGGAGGGAGTTTTGGTGTATGCATGCATGAGTGCATGCTCAGTCATGTCCGACTCTTTTGTGACCCTATGGACTATAGCCTGCCAGGCTCCTCTGTCCATGGGACTTTCCAGGCAAGAATACTGGAGTGGGATGCCATTTCTTCCTTCAGAGGATCTTCCCGACCCAGAGACAGAACCCATATCTCCTGTATCGGTAGGTGGATTCTTTACCACTGAGTCACCTGGGAATTCTGAGGCTTAGTAGTGGACTTATGTAAAATGGTCTTAAGCACCACTCCGGATACCATATCTTTTAAGAGAGATTATTTTTAAAAAGTGGAAACCAGAAGGGAATCTATGTAGGCGAAAGGTATTAAAATGATATGAGAGAAGCATTGAAAGAACTGTAAATATTTAATTTAGATAAATGAAATACTAAAGTATGGTTGAACATAGAATCATACATGGAGGGAGAGATAAATCAGAAGTTTGAGTTGAACACACACACACTATTATATATAAGATAGATAACCATAAAAGGCCTACTGTATAGCACAGGGAACTCTACTCAATATTCTTTGATAACCTATTTGAAAAAAGACTCTAAAGCAGAATGAAAATACGTATATGTATAACTGAATCACTTTGCTATACATGTGAAACTAACACAACATTGTAAATCAACTATACCCCAATAAAATATTGAAAGTGTTAGTCGCTCAATCATGTCTGATTCTGCGACTCCATGGACTGTACCCCTCCAGGCTTCTCTGCCCATGGGATTCTCCAGGCAAGAATACTGGAGTGGGTAGACATTCCCTTCTCCAGGGGATCTTCCTAACCGAGGAGTTGAACCCCGGTCTCCTGCATTACATGCAGATTCTTTGCCACCTGAGCCACCTGGAAAGCCCCAATAAAATATTAATAAAATTAAATTAAATAGAATTAGATGGAGCCATCCAGTCTCCTAAAAATTTAACTGATGATAAATTGGGTTTAATTGAGTCTACTTATACCAATATCAACGTTTGTTGAGCACCTGTTATTTGCAAATGTTCTATCAGATGCCAGGAATACAAAAATAAGCAAGTTTCATCCTGAATGACTGCCTACATCTCCTCTCTCACATCTTCAAATATTTAACAGGCTGTCACAGGGAAGACAGTATGAATGTGGCCTGTCCTCTGAAAGGCACAGCTAGGGCTTATAAGTAGAAACTACAGGAAGGTGAATAACATAGGAAGAACTTTCCAATAACACAAGTTGTGTAACCCTGGATGGGGGTTGCTTTGAAATCAATGAGGTCCACAGGAAGATTGGATAATCTATCCCTGGATCTCTTATCGTTTCTCAGTTGGAGAGGAAATTAGCCCAAATGACCTCCAAGGTCCCTATGTGTGTGTTCCCTGACTACTAAATGCACAGCCAATAGGGAAAAACTACTACAGAAAGTTTGTACTAAATATAATAAATATCTTCAATTTTATTTCTTGTTGCATTATCTCTTGGTTTTGATGGTTGATTTGCATCATTAAAAATAGCATAAAAGAAACTTTCTGAGTTTCATGGTACACTTTACAGCAAATGTGAAACCTCAAAGGGGAATTCAGAGAAATAACTCATCAATCACTGTGACATGAGCCCTTAGGTGTTCTCCAACCTAGGCAAGATAAGATGTCTGTGATCATTCAATTCATTCATTTGATAAATATTTCTTGAGCACCTAACATGCCCCAGATGCTATGCTAATTATGGGAAAAACTGTTCACTGGTGAATAAGATAACCATTCTTCCTGGTTTTATGAGATTGCTGTTCTAGAGGTGAATACAGGCAAATAACATAAGCAGTTACAACTAATGCCATCAGTGCTCTAAAGGGAGAAGAACAGGGTGCTCAAGTGGGACATCCGAACTTCAGAGGATGAAGGATGACCCTGTACACTTGTGGGTTCAGGGAAGGATTTCTGGAAACAAACATGTCTGAGCTGAGATACGAAGAATGGTTTGAAATAGGAATTAGCTGGGGGAGGAGCCAGAAGTTGCACAGAGATGCTTTAAGTAGCCACAGTTGCATCTTTTTAAAAAATATTTATTTATTTAGCTGCGCTTGCTCTCATTTGCTGCATGCTGGATCTTTTAGTTACCGCACGTGAAATCTAGTTCCCTCACCAGGGATCGAACCCAGGCCCCCTGCATTGGGAGTGTGGCGTCATAGCCTCTGGATCACCAGGGAAGTCCCAGCGCAGTTGCATCTTGATCTCCCACTTAGTAGTGCCCTTTGACTCGATTATGCAGAAGCATTTTCCCTTTGAAATTATGATTTTTATGCTTTGTCATTTAACAGGAAATACCATCATTTTTAGTACCATACTGGAAACTGATAGAAAGTTCCTATATAAATTCCATCAAAACAGTACTCAGGCAGCTGAGAGAAGGCCAGCATACCGTATTTGCTCACTTATATGATATTAGGTAAGTAAAGTTCCCACAGTTCCAGTCGTGTAGTTTACGGCGAGGACATGTAAGCTCTGTCTCATTCTGCCAATGCCTTACAGAACAGGCTTCCAGCAGTTTCTGAGGCGTCCAGACCACAAGCAAGACTTCGTGTCTCAGTGGCAGGCAGATTTCAATTCCCTTCCTGACGACCTGTGGGATGATGAGGAAACAAAGGCTGAGCTACACCAAAGAGTGAATGTAAGGGAATCTGTGACTCACGGGGCCCAGGTTTCCACACTCTCGAACCTTCCACTGCAAAAGCCTCACTTACCCCCTCCTTACTTTCGTGAGGTGTGAGCATGAGGAGGGAAATGGTTTGAACACCAACCTGCCGACTTTCAAGAGCAGTGGCTCTTCAGCACTTTGAGTTCAGAGTGAGAATCCAGTGGTTCATGCTTCTGGAAGGAGGGGCCAAGGCCAGGGATCTAAGATCATTCCAGCCTCTATTAATTTTGTACACTCTTAACCACTTTGTCAGGTCACGTAAGCCTGTCCAAGCCTGGTATTAAGTATGTGCCTGTCTTGGATGCAGCTAAATGGTTGGTTGATGTCAATGAGAAGGGGAATGAGGAAACATTCCAGAAAGCCTGAAGTATTGCCTCTATTGAATAGATCCCTTGAGGGAAGCTACCACATCTAACACATTTTTGTTATCTCCAGCAAGCACAGTGCCTGGTACTTGGTCGACAGGCAGATTTTCATAAATTCATAAATGGAGTATACATTTAAGTATATATTTGTATATATTACCCTGATGCTTTAGAAAACATCCTCTGATGTTTAAGAAGCCTGATTTCGATTTCTTACCATTTCCTGTCTCTTAGCTTTTCCTGTCAGGGGAATTCTTTCCCTTGACACAACTGAAGCCCGCCAGGCTCCTCTGTCCATGGGCTTTCCCAGGCAAGAATACTGAAGCAGGTTGCCATTCCCTTCTCCAGGGGATCTTCCCAACCCAGGAATCAAACTGAGTCTCCTGCATTGCAGGAAGATTCTTTACCATCTGGGCCACCAGGACAGCCCTAACTATAGGCTACTAGTGGTCAAATCTGATTGTAGTCTCAATGTGTATTTGTACAACAACAACAACAACAACAACAAACTGCCAAGCTCTACCCCATGACCCATTCACCTGCTCTGTGAATATTTATTGAACATCTACCAGGGTCTCAGCACTATTCCAGGGACTAGGGATTGACAGTGGGAAAAAAGCCTGTGATGTCAGGATGTTTATATTCTGGGGGCCAGAATGCAAAGAATAAGCAATAAGCACATAAATGTACAGTGAGTATGTCACTGGTAAGAGCTATGTGAAGGACAGAGAGCATAGAGGAAAAAACACTGATGTACTATTTAGTATCCAGTGATTGTGTAAAGGCCCACTCTGAGAAGGTGATATTTGAGCAAACTCAGGAAACGAGACAGTAAATGAGTCAGGCAGATCTGGGGAGAAAGAGTGTATTAGGCAGAGAGAAAAGCAAAGGCACTAAAGGAGGAGGATGCTTGGTATATTTAAGAGGCATTGGGAAACCAACTGGGGAGCTATTGAAGTTAAGTGAAGGCATGATGGTAACTTGGATGAGCAGCGTGCTGGTAGGTTCTATCAAGAAGGTATTGAATTAACAAAAGCCCCAGTACTGAAGCATTTTACCTGTTCTTAATCCTAAAACATATCTGCCTTTTCTGTTTCCTACCTATTCCCAAAGCCAGCCCTCCTATCAACTCTTGCCCCAGATCAATCAGATGATGGCTAGTAGAATGAGAAGGTTTTTAGACTTAAAATATCTTATGAGCATTTTTCCCCTAATTCATGAAGTACCATTTGTTTATTGTACACAAATTAGTTGTGTAATTAAACAAAAATTTAAAATGACAAATCCATAATCCTATTTGCCAGTAGTTAACCTCTTTATTCAGGGTAACAGTCCTTGTTCTTGGCTTATTTCATTTCAATCCTAAGAAGTTAATGATGAGGCTCTGCTATTGTGTTATCCTCATCTTACCATTAGAAAACCAAACTGTGGAGATACAGTACTTGCTAAGGCCTCCAAGTGAATCAGAAACAGAATGAGAACTAGAAACAAGGCCCCTGCTTCCTCTGCTCTCTTTTTAAAAATGTATAAATGTGTGGGGAGTACAAGCCAATCCTCACTGAATGTCTGATAGAGCATTTGTGGAAAGACCCCAGAGACACCCAGATCAGCTCTAAATAATAGTGTATTCTTCTGCCGTTAGCACACAGCTATAAAAATGGCGGTGATCTTTTCATTTCACATGAAGCCCCCACAAGATAACAAACCAAAATGCTAAGTGTGCCATAAACACAGCATCACAGAAATAAAACTCTCTGTGGATACTGGAATAAAGCTTCTTGCTCTTGAATTCCTGACTTCACCACGTTGAAACTATCGGCCAGTGATTTAACCACTCTGGGCATCCAATTTCTCATCAGGAACTTCTCTGTTGGTTATTGTGGGGATGAATGAGGTAGTCAATGTCAGGCCCTAAACACAATGCCTATAGAAATTTGGAGTCCTGGGTTCCAGTCCTAGATAGATATTTTTGAACTTTCTGAGGAATGATGTTAAGTCTATTTAGCTATAAATTAAATAAAGGGCCAAGGTAAAGTTCAAAGAACTAGAAAGGCCTGAGAATGAAGCAGAATATAGAGTTGGGAAAAGAAAGAAAACCTAATAAGTAATTCAGAATTTTATGCTTTGACATGTTTCGTCTAATTTCATCTTCACAATAACCCTTCCAAATAGTCATACTTAGCCCCAAACTATATGCAAGGAATAATAAAAAGTGGATAATTTCATCCTACAAAAAAATAAATAAATAAATAAACACAATGCCTAATGCACAGTTAATATTCAATAAATTACTAATGTTATGAAAACTGTCAAGTTTTATTGGACTATATATATTTTCTTAATGGGATTTTTATTAAATAGATATTTTACTGCTATGAATTTCTATGATAGTGTTTATAATTGAGAAATTATTGTATGCTGAATACTGTGCTAAGTGCTTTATGCATGCTAAGTCACTTCAACCATATCCAACTCTTTGCGACTACAACTCTTTGTAGCCCTCCAGACTCCTCTGTCCATGGAATTCTCCAGGCAAGAATACTGGAGTGAGTTGCCATACCCTCCTCCAGGGATCTCCCCAACCCAGGGATCAGAGTGCTTTATAGGCTTAGGCTGACTATAGCACATCCAAAGGGTAAACAGTATCCCCATTTCACAGGTCAAGTAACTGAGCCCTAATCTAGTGGTACATCTTACTCAAGCCCACAGACTCATATCCTGACTCCACCACTTGCTCATAGGGTGACTTTAAGAAAAAAAAAAAACACCTCTCTGTGGCTGACTCAGATCCTCACCTGCAAAAGGAAGATAATAAGAGTACCTAAGTTTGCTGGGAGGCATTCAAAGAGTCAATATAAGTTCACTGACTTCTTTTCTGACGCAGTGACACACACAGAAAGGTATTATCGTCATTATTGCTCAGGATCTAGTGAATGGCAGAGATGGGATCTTTAAAGGACTTTATTTTACTGCTAGCTCTGTAGTACAAAGCTTATCTTCAGACAGCCCCATTATGTGTCAAACACCATTTCTTGGTGAATGACATGTTCCACCCATGATTCATTAATAAGCCTATGTGTGCCCTTGGACTCCACAGAGCTTCAGATTTCTTCCACCAACAATACACCATTTCCTCCAAAATTCCCTGAGAGGTCTTGTTTCAATCAAACAAGTCTTGTGAGGAAGGAGTAGAACACAGAAAGCTTAGCCCCCATGAAGAAAGTGAACTGCAGTGGGTTTGGACATGGGTACAGGGTATGCTGAGGGGGACCTTAGAAAGTGAGGACCTGACAGAGTAGAAGCAAAATAAATATTTGTTGAGCTAAAGGATAAAATACATGAATGCATTAGATCTAAATCTGCTTCAGGCACATTTTTAAGACAGACAAAGGATTTTAGTTTCATTACACGGAGGTCCTCCAAGCTGCGATTCTGAAGCCTCACAGTGTTGCTTCTCTGTGTTCAGGATTTACGGGAACGCCTGTGGGACATTTGCGATGCCCGCAAGGAAGAAGCAGAGCAGGAGCGTCTGGACATCATTAATGAGAGCTGGTTGCAGGACTCGATGGAAGTCGCCATGAACCATTTTTTCTCACTGATGCAGGTAAGAGTGGCTGGTCAGAATGACACAGACTCTGCCCTCTATGGCCATAGTCCTCCTGTTAACCACCCCTCTGGGAATGTAAGGGGCTGTTTGGAGCTTATTTCACTCAGAGCACCCGACCCAGCCTTGAGCCCCAACTTGCTTAGGAATTCAGCTGAAATAAACCATTTCAAGCAAACACCAGAACTGGGAACATCTCAAGCAACACTTCACCAGTTGTTTCCAGGTAGCCTGGAGCTGTGGAGGGGACAACAGAGATGGTGTCTGTCCTGGGTCACTACCTCGCCAGCTCCCTGCAGTGGACACCTGAAGCCTTGCCACAGAACATGGGAAAATCAGTCTCAGTGGACACTTGATTCCTGAAAAACATTTGTGTCCAGATTGGCAACACAGACCATTCATCAGAACAACCTGATTAACTTGCTTTTGCAGCCCATTGAAATAATGAATCGTGCTGGACCAGCTAAAGAGGCAGACGTTGATTTTTATCCCAAGAAATTCATCAACAATAGGGGAGAGAGCACAGACCAAGTCTGGAGACCCAGCTCTCCCAAGAAGAAGGGCTGGAGTGTTTCTAAGAGCTGGAGTGGGGTGAAGTGTCATGGGCAACCTGTGTTTCTCAACTGGCCTCACCTAAAGGAAAAGTAAACTTTCTCCTCTCTTCTTGATGCAAGTAGTTCTACAGCTTGGAGCAAGATGTCTTCCTAAGTCAGGCTCCTCTCCTCCCAGAGGACAGGGACTTAAGGCTGCTTCTTTCACCTCATATGCTTCCGTCTCAAAGAGGTGGTTCCCAGGTCCTTGACAGAGACAATTCTGGTTCCTAGAACCCGAAGAAAGATTTGAAGAGATTCACATCTCAAATTGACAGAGAATGGGCTTACAAAGACAAGTTTCCTAAAGTAAATACTCTCAGACAAGGAAGATCAGGAGCCTGGAGTTAGGGAGAAACCTGTCTATAATCTCTTCACACTGAGGGGAATATGAAGGGTATCTTGGTAATCAAGCTGAGTCTACAGGAGTATTCTTTCCTAAGAAATGGCAGTGAGGATACAGTGGAAAAGGGTACCTTACAGGTCTTGAACTGGTTAGTTTACAAAATTTATTGCCAGAAATGAGGATAGTTAGCTGAGGCTTGCCAGACCTGTGCACAGGAGGTGTCCAGTACATCCTTGTGACTTTGACGGCGAGGACTCCCAGCACTCCAGGAGACAATCGTGGACCACTGGAGGCAGAAGCCTAAGAGACAGAAGCTGCCTTACTGATTGCCGGCTCTGGGATCAGGAGAGAGCTGCAAGACATGGATTGTGCTGAGTCTGAAGGCGAGACACCCAGCAGCCTGAACCCGCTGGGGTGACGCCCCTGGGGTGCCACTTTGGGTCAACGGAGATTGAATGTTGGTAAAGGTGTGTCAAAAGCTTAGGGTAGAAATAACAGAAATCCAATAGTGAAGGGAAAGGGATTAGAGAATATTTGTAAATCATTCACAGATGTCCAAGCAATATGCACCTCCTGTGAAAATGGCATACCTCTTACACCCCACAATACCTGCCTTTCAGACTGTCCCTGAGACACAGAATCTACATCTAAAACCAACGAGGGGGGAGAAAAAGAGGGTAAAGGAAAGGACAGCAAACAAAGGCTAATATGTATTAAATTCTTAATCTGTATGTGCCAGACATGGTTCTAAGGATTCTTCATGTGCAATACATTAAACCTTCACAGGAACCCTAGGCTGTACATTCTATCTTAATGCTCATTTCACAGATGAGGAAACCGAGGCAAACATAGATGAAGTAATTTGACCAATGCCACATGCCAATCGAGAGAGAACTGGGATTTGGACTCAGGGAGTCTAACTCCTGTGCGAGTACCTCTGACCACTGGTTTGTCATCAGTGTTTCCATGGTTAAAGGCTAGTCAATAGAACAGAAAAGGCCTTAAATTGACATGAATTGACAGAATCCTATAAAAAAGGGAAAAATACAAAGCTGTAAACTACAGGAGAGTAGTAGATTTCAGTTCAGTAAGTGAAAAGAAGAGTCTAATGATTGGAACTGTCCATCAAATAACAGACTTTGCAGGCCCTTGAACTGCTGGTCCAGGAGCCCATAAGCAGGATTTTCTGCATATTTGTGAAGGGGAGAAAAATCTTTGTGAAAGTTTTCGAGGGTTTATGGCTAGATAAGTGTTTCCCAAGGTGGATTCTGTGGAACACTGCTACAAGATGTTTCACAAAACAAGGACTTGATGATTCCAAAGATTTTGGGAAGGGCTATGTACTCTACCCTTCCTTCTTGCTGGGACATTAACAAAAATACTGACATATTATTATTATCAAGATGCCCTGCAATATAGAAACTCTGAGTGTGCTAACCCAGGATTTCTGAAACTGATGTTGCAAAGTTTTNACTCGATGGACATGAGTTTGAGCAAGCTCCAGGAGTTGGTGACGGACAGGGAAGCCTGGGGTACACAGGGTTGCAAAGAGTCGGACATGACTGAGCAACTGAACTGAACTGAAGACAAGGTTTGTACAAAACAAATTTTAGAAAATGCTATGCTAGATGATTTCTAAGATTGCTTTCAAAGCTGAGATTCTGTGAAGACAGAAGCAATGAGAAAGAATTATTTACTAGCTATCACAAGTGTGAAAACAATCTTAATTCTGCTTATATGGGTATTGTGGATGTATAATGGCATCTTATTTGTAGTTAGCTGTATAATGAGTCAAATTCTGTCCCCCTAAAATAAATTAATATTTTATATAAAATATTATAACAGGGTTAGTCTGAGGCATGGATACCAACACTGTCTGAAATACCAATTATATAAAATAGAACCTACTAATCTTAATCATAATTAAAGAGTTCAGTTCTCTAAGTTAAGGAGGAAATAATTTCCTGATTTCTAAATATATTTACCAAATAATGCTAATTTGGTAAGCATTATTAAACCAAAGTGCTTTTAGTTTAATAACTTAACAATTTTTATAGCCTCACAATACTTCAGTTCCCCAAATTTATTTGTCAATATCCAATTTGTACAAATTGGGTTCATTAATACATTTGCATGCCACACACTGTAAATGTGGTATCATGAAGATTCTCTTGAGTATCAGTTTAGTTCAGTTCAGTTGCTCAATCGTGTCCGACTCTTTGTGACCTTGTGGACTGCAGCACACCAGGTTTCCCTGTCCATCAACAAATCCCAGAGCTTGCTCAAACTCACATCCATTGAGTCAGTGATGCCATCCAACCGTCTCATCCTCTGTTATCCCCTTCTCCTCCTGCCTTCAATCTTTCCCAGCATCATGGTCTTTTCCAATGAGTCACCAGCCAAAGTATTGGAGTTTCAGCTTCAGCATCAGTGCTTCCAATGAATATTCAGGACTGATTTCCTTTAGGATGGACTGGTTTGATCTCCTTGCTGTCCAAGTTATTCTCAAGAGTCTTCTCCAACACCACAGGTCAAAGTCATCAATTCTTTGGCACTCAGCTTTCTTTATAGTCCAACTCTCACATCCATACATGACCTCTGGAAAAATCATAGCTTNCTTGAGATTTCACTGGTGACACATTATTTTCCATCATCACCTCATATTTCCTTGCCATTTTCAGTTTTCATGACCAATTATATATATGTTACCTCAGGGAAAGTGCTGAATGCTATGACCTAGCTTCCCTTCCTGATGTTTAAGAAATGGATGACAGGAAAGCTCCAGGTAAGTGATACAGATTGTATTTTGTTTCGAGCCATGGAATATATAGAAAAACAAATTCCCAAGCATAACCCAGCTTTCCTGCATTTGTTATAGTGATGCTAGGATCCAGGGATGCCTTGATGTTTCCCTGTCAACCTGGCTGTCTGGTCTGGCATGGCTGCTTTCTTAACTTTTAATTAGGTAATGAAGGCTGAGTGCTGAAGAACTGAAGCTGTTGGAAGGTTGTGCTGGAGAAGACTCTTGAGAGTCCCTTGGACTGCAAGGAGATCAAACCTGTCAATCCTAATGGAAATCAGTCCTGAATATTTATTGGAAGGAATGATGCTGAAGCTGAAGCTCCAATACTTTGGCCACCTGATGCGAAGAACTGACTCATTGAAAAAGACCTTGATTCTGGGAAAGAGTGAAGGCAGGAGGAGAACGGGATGACAGAGGATGAAATGGTTGGATGGCCTCACTGACTCGATGGACATGAGTTTGAGCAAGCTCCAGGAGTTGGTGATGGACAGGGAAGCCTGGCATGCTGCAGTCCATGGGGTCACAAATAGTCGGATGTGACTAAGCAACTGAACTGAACTGAACTTGTTTAAGTGACCCTACTAACAAAAGCAAAGAATGAAGGTCATGGTTACACCACCAGAGAGAAGCACCGATATGCCAACTGATCTGGCATCTAATAGGAGAGCAGGTTGGAAAACTCATGGTCTGTGTAACTGACAGTATGCAGGATCTCACTGCACATACGTGTCACAATTGCCACAAACGGAAACAACCTGCTGGGAGGGAGTCAGTCATGAATAACTGATACTCCTCTGTGCTTCTCCATTTCCTGTCCCTCAAGATGCCTACTGGCAAAGTTAGCAGAGGCATTTTATTTTGAGCTTGGAGGAGTGACCTCCCTTTCTGTTCATGTTGATCAGAAATGGAAACTGAGAAAAATATTCATTATCACTTCACCTCACCATTTGTTAGTTCTCCATAGCTACATTTCATCTTACAGGACCAAAACCTAGTCTTATTTTGTGTTTCAGTTCTTTCATAGCAGTATATATATTTATATTATGTATTTTATGTGTACTTTTAGTATTTCCCAAGTCAACTAATGTGTTATGTATGATGAAACACTCAAATGTTTGTTAATGTATTGATTGGTTGAATATAGGGCACAAAGAATTCCTAATGTCAAAATAATGACTAATATGCACTATTTCAGACATCATACTATCTTTTGTAACATTATTAAGAGGCATTGGAATGTCATCTTGTTAAGTGGACTTATATTCAATAAGTAAAGAGAATGCAAACTCACCAACTTTCTTTAATTTTTATGAAATCTTACATAAACATTTAAAACCACTTCTCTTAGTTTCTAGAAAGCTGATTTCAACCTACTGTTTTTAAATAGTGTTTACAGAGCTTATATGGAAAATATGTGCAGATTATCTTGTTCTCTCTTGGGTATTAACATTCATATTTGCTATTAAAGGCAGAAATGAACCGTTTCCAAGATACGAAGAGATTCCTACAAGATTATTACAGGGCCATGGAATGTAAAATTCCAGTGGATGACACTAAGAGATTCACTCAAGTCCCACTGGTCCAACTGGATAGTAAAGATATTTTGGAAAGCCAATTTAGGTAAGGCAGACTATCATGTTGCACTGTAATTAGTCTGAAGATAAAGCTATGTGATTTTAAATTGAATACCATTATAAAACCACACTCCTGTATCTGCTAATCCAAAATCCAAAAAAAAAATGTCTGAAAACTGAATTATTTCTTTTCTAACTTTGACAAAGACTATTGATATGCATTATTTATTCTACTTACCTACTCATTGATTACTCATTTTTGCTGCAGAGATATAATGTGTTTTGTTATGGAGTGCTTCCACCATGCTGCTGGGAGTAGTAGTGAATATATAGTGTATACAAATTCTGAATTCTGAAACACTGTTGACCACAAGGCTTTCTGGTAAGGGATCATGACCTCTACCACTTTTATGAAAGGTCCCATGCTGTTCTGTGTGTATGGATGTGTCTTTGTGTGACATCATGTAAATGAAGCTTCAAGGCATTATGTGTCTTCTTTTACAGTACAGGAAACTGAGAAACAGTAAAGACTCAAACTTATGTGGTTATGTCTTTGTGAGACTGAAACTTCTTAGTGAACTAACATCAGATTCCCACCAGCATGAAAATAAACTTGGTGTTAAGGGTAGAATAAAAATTACATTTTAAGGCAATTACTAGTTATATGTAAATAAATTAAAACAATATATTTGGGAAAGTCACCCCCAACTCTCTTAAGCTTTGGTTTCATTATCTGTAAAAGTAGGGTGGTTATGAAGACCGCAGAAAATGAAATCCTCAGAACATATAGCACCATGTCTGAGAGTCAGAAAACTTAAGACCTAGTCCCAGTGACTCTCAATAAGTAGTAACTATTATCTTTACTGCGTAATATAACAACGAACGATTCTTCCCCACATGCACTGTTTTAATTGTGAGTATCACTTGTTTTACCCTCCCTTATGCTGTCAAGAATTTGAAATGGCCTGAGCACAACAGGATTCCACAGTGATCTGAGGCCCATTTCTCTGTAGACTTCTTCCATCTAATCCCATCATGTCCCTGTCAGGACCACGCATAAGCAAGAAAACACAAAAAGGAAAATCTGTACCCTCTTTTTGACACAAACACAAGATAAATGTTTTAACTCAGCCAGTGCTGAAAGAGGACATTGCAATTAAAAACAATAAGAAAATTTCCAAAGTGATATGAACCATCAAGAGTCATTAAAAGAGGCCAAGGTTCCGTGTCCCCAGGGACAGTTCATTCTGTTCTTAGCACAAAATAGCAAGTCAGGCCTAATGGGGAAGCTGTTAATGTTGGGTAGTAGAATGAGACGGGCAAAAGAACAGCCAGTTCTTATTTTCTGCAAAACAACTCTGCACCAGTGTCAACCTCAAATCACTGCTGTAAGTATCTCCTGGAACTCTCAGCCAATGGATGTGCCAGCCAACCAGTCAACCAGTCTCACATGGGTAGGGAGATGAGCACAGCGTCAAGCATTTTCACATAGTTTGTCTATTTTATTCCTCCAACAGCCTAATAGTAATAATAATGGTATTAACTAATAACAAATAATGTACAGAAATAATAGCAATAATAATATTATTATATTTGTATTCTTCCAAGAAGAATGGAGCCTCCGAAAGTCAAGTGACATGCCCCAGTTCATATTTACTGAAATATCTACTGATAGTGAGAGAACTGGCTAGACCAGAGTTTTTCTCAGTAGATGAATTCTAAACCCAGATTCCTTTTTTAAATGATATGCCGCCACTGCAGTTTCTTCTTTTACAGTACAGGAAACTGAGAAACAGTAAAGACTCAAACTTATGTGGTTATGTCTTTGTGAGACTGAAACTTCTTAGTGAACTAACATCAGATTCCCACCAGCATGAAAATAAACTTGGTGTTAAGGGTAGAATAAAAATTACATTTTAAGGCAATTACTAGTTATATGTAAATAAATTAAAACAATATATTTGGGAAAGTCACCCCCAACTCTCTTAAGCTTTGGTTTCATTATCTGTAAAAGTAGGGTGGTTATGAAGACCGCAGAAAATGAAATCCTCAGAACATATAGCACCATGTCTGAGAGTCAGAAAACTTAAGACCTAGTCCCAGTGACTCTCAATAAGTAGTAACTATTATCTTTACTGCGTAATATAACAACGAACGATTCTTCCCCACATGCACTGTTTTAATTGTGAGTATCACTTGTTTTACCCTCCCTTATGCTGTCAAGAATTTGAAATGGCCTGAGCACAACAGGATTCCACAGTGATCTGAGGCCCATTTCTCTGTAGACTTCTTCCATCTAATCCCATCATGTCCCTGTCAGGACCACGCATAAGCAAGAAAACACAAAAAGGAAAATCTGTACCCTCTTTTTGACACAAACACAAGATAAATGTTTTAACTCAGCCAGTGCTGAAAGAGGACATTGCAATTAAAAACAATAAGAAAATTTCCAAAGTGATATGAACCATCAAGAGTCATTAAAAGAGGCCAAGGTTCCGTGTCCCCAGGGACAGTTCATTCTGTTCTTAGCACAAAATAGCAAGTCAGGCCTAATGGGGAAGCTGTTAATGTTGGGTAGTAGAATGAGACGGGCAAAAGAACAGCCAGTTCTTATTTTCTGCAAAACAACTCTGCACCAGTGTCAACCTCAAATCACTGCTGTAAGTATCTCCTGGAACTCTCAGCCAATGGATGTGCCAGCCAACCAGTCAACCAGTCTCACATGGGTAGGGAGATGAGCACAGCGTCAAGCATTTTCACATAGTTTGTCTATTTTATTCCTCCAACAGCCTAATAGTAATAATAATGGTATTAACTAATAACAAATAATGTACAGAAATAATAGCAATAATAATATTATTATATTTGTATTCTTCCAAGAAGAATGGAGCCTCCGAAAGTCAAGTGACATGCCCCAGTTCATATTTACTGAAATATCTACTGATAGTGAGAGAACTGGCTAGACCAGAGTTTTTCTCAGTAGATGAATTCTAAACCCAGATTCCTTTTTTAAATGATATGCCGCCACTGCAGTTCTCCAAAGCAAGGTGTTCAGAAATGCCTGTTGCCCCATCTTAAATGTCTAGAGATAATCACACAAACATTACCTTAATTGGCTAGACACATGAATCTAATATGTCTTAGTGACTGAGACTGAGCATTACTTGATTATTAAAGTGTCGACTGGCCTTGTGGGTAGGTGGGTACTGAGTCATAAACACATGGCCTCCATAGGTACCGTATACTGTCAAAATTCCAAACATTGTGATAATCAAAGAGCCAGCTTCAGAAAACCTCGTCTGATGCTTCAAAACATGTCCAAGCCAGTGATTTGCAAAAATTCACAGCCAGCTTTCTGCATCACTGCTCCATTCCCCAGCAACTTGAGTCTGCCAAGCTAAATGCATGCTCTTCTCAAGTTTTAGCCAAGGCATCCTGGGAGCTCCTTTCTGCCCAAGCTGAAAGCCCTTCCTGTGTTCTATCACTGAGCGGGATCCCAGTCACAGTAAGCATTCGGATCTGTGGATCACTGCCTGCAGTTAGCCTCTGAGATCCTGGGATCCTTCAGGGATCGGACATTACCAGGGGCAGCTCTAAAATCTCTACACAGGGGCAGCAGCAGTATGGTTGAGAGCAAGGGGAAAGCTTCACTCTGCGTTCTCACAGCACTTTGCAAAACAGTTCATCATCCATTCTCAAGGTGGGGGAAGGGCTGCTGGTGCTTTCAAACCTCAGTGAGACACCCCTTGCAGACCTCACATCTATTATAATATATCCCGCTTTTAACTGTTCATTTCCAGAAGCCAAGTGCTAATCATATTAAAGAAAGCGAAGTCGCTCAGTCGTGTCCAACTCTTTGCGACCCCATGGACTGTAGCCTACTAGGCTCCTCCATCTATGGGATTTTCCAGGCAAGAGTACTGGAGTGGGTTGCCATTTCCTTCTCCAAGAGATCTTCCCAACCCAGGGATTGAACCTGGGTCTCCCGCATTGTAGGCAGATGCTTTACCATCTGAGCCACCAGGGAAGCAATCTCAAATCTATTTGGTCCGCTTTTTCATTCCTTATTGGACGTTTATATCCCAGATAAATTCCAAAATTGAATTTCTTCATAAAATTGCCTTCCTCATAATTGCCAAGAATTAGTCCTAAAGATTATGTTTTAGCATTGCTTGTCTCTAGTTTCCTCTTGTTAATAAGAGTTTCTGGTTCATAAAAATCTGAATACAGCGTTTCATAGTCTTTTCTCCATCAGAAGGGTTCTTCTTAGACCAAGAGAACAAAATTTACTGAGAAGCATGACCACAAAAATAGAATTCTGTTAAAGTCTTTATATTTCTTTTCTGTTGATTTTCCCAAGAATTCCCCTGGTTCCTCGAAGATCCATTTCTCCAGAGTCAGCTTTATCCAAGCCCAAAACAAAAAGCATCCTGAAGGGCAAGATTGATTACACGCTGGAAAGTGTAGAGTTAAACTTTGAGGCCGATGAGAAGATGGTGATGGATGTGTGGCAGCAGTCTTCTTTGGCAATATCTCACATGGTAAGCAATGCTGGTTATTACATTTTCTTTTAGTAACACCCATTCATTGAATTCCAAAGTTGGTAATATGCTAAGAATAGAAAATTTACACAATGTTCATAGTATACATTTATATCTCCCAGAAGTTTGTTTGTTTGTTTTTCCTAGAAGAAATAAGAGAAACAGAGAGGTCAACTTTGCCATTTAAGAATGGGACCCAGTAGGGCCAGATTTTTAAAGTCAAGAATTCAGCCTACACTTTCTTTAAGTCTTAGTACTTCCTTCATTACCAACCAATTGGTTGTCTGTTTCCTGAAGCCCAAACCTTCTGTGATCATATGCTCTTCCCATCCTTGTAGCAGTTATTGTCTCTCCTACTCTTGACTCTTAGTGTCTAGGTTATTGTTTATAATTTTTATCTCATTAATGTTTTCCTGAATACTTAACAATTCTAAAACTTTCTGTATCTGCTACATGTAGCATAATGCCCACATCTAACACAATATTGAGTCCTCAGAACATTCTTGAGATGCTTCTGCTGCTATGCTCGTAACACTGATGTTCATATAAGTGATGATGGCAGTGGCAATGAGCTGTAGTCTGCAAAAACCACAACTACCAAGCATCAGAGAATAGGAAACCAGATCTAAAAGTTCTAAGAAGAGAAGTTGATTAATTATTATTCTTCATTTAATTGAACATAAACATAATTTACAAGTCTTATGCATCCTACTAAAATTACCTAGGAAAATAAGTTTTAAAATATTAGATTCTTAGAGAGTATCATACAGCACCAAGAGCCCTGGCCATACCTCTTGGGTAAGCTGTGTGATCTCAGGAAAATCGCTTAACCTCTCTGAGTCTTCAGGTCCTTATCTGTAACATGGAGACATTCTACCTAGCCTTTCTTGAATGACTGAAAAGATCCAATGAAATAATGAATATGAAATTTTTTTGGAAACTAAATATAATAGATCATTATATTAAGAAATTTGTTTAAAACTGTACCACTTTGTTTGCAGACTTTTGAAAACCATACAAAAAGCATAGGAGGAAGGATTGTTTTGTAATTAATATTCCCAATAATTACATTTGAATCCTGATTTTATGACTTAACCCAGGTCTCCTGCATTGCAGGCAGATTCTTTACCAGCTGAGCTACAAGGGAAGCCCAAGAATACTGGAGTGGGTAGCCTATCCCTTCGCCAGTGGACCTTCCCGACCCAGGAATTGAACCGGGGTCTCCTGCATTGCAGGTGGATTCTTTACCAAGTGAGTTATTAGGGAAGCCCTTTATATTTCTAGTAGACTTCCAGATGATTTTGACACTAAATGACCTTAAGAGAACTTTCTCTGCTGGCTCAGACCGTAAAGAATCCACCTGCAATGCAGAAGACCTAGGTTCTATCGCTGGGTTGGGAAGATCCCCTGGAGAAGGGAATGGCTATGCACTCCAGTATTGTTTCCTGGAGGTTTCCATGGGTGGAGGGGTCTGAACGCCTACAGTTCATGGGGTCACAACAAGTCACACATGACTGAGCAACTAACACACACAAGAGAACTTTGAGTTTCAAATAAGAGAGGCTTGATTCAATAACGTGATGCAGGGAGAACAGGACCAGATGAGATCAGGGCAATTGAAATGATAGCACTTTAGCCTGGGCTTTTTCTGTACACAGCAGCTTTACCAAGCGCTATCCACTTAGTATGTTATGTTAATTTTTAACAGAACTTTCTTCTAATTAGCAGGTATGCAATGATTTCAAAGAAACAAGTCATGTTTAACACCCACTATATGAAAGCATTATTTCTACAATTCTTCAGCCTTACAAGCTAGATTACTAGGTATACTGTGAATTATGTTAATTTTTGAAAGAGACCCAGAGGTGTTTGAGGGAAGTGGCCTAGAAAAATGCAGGTAATGATAATCACCATCACCATTATCACAAAGCTGTTTACAGAGGAGAAAAATCCAATTTTAAAGGAAATTACTAACTTACTGTGCCTTGCAAGAACGGATTCAAAAATGAATTGCTTGCAATTTAGGGAAGAATGTTAACAGTTTTACCAAGAATTTGAAAGTACAGTATATATCATGAAATTCATTTTTATCAAAAGAGCATCTGATTAAAAAAACACATGCACACACACCAAAAAAACTGCCTTACTCTTTGAAACCTTTCTGTATCCCTCCGAGGTTCTGCTAATACCGAAAGAGCTGTGGGTGTGTGTGTGCTCAGTCACTCAGTTGTGTCCAACTCTTCAGAATCCCATGGACTGTAGCCCACCAGGCTTCTCTGTCTATGGAATTTTCCAGGCAAGAATGCTGGAGCAAGTTTCCTTTTCCTATTCCAGGGGATCTTCCTGACCCAGGGATCGAACCCACATCTCTTGCGGCTCCTGCATTAGCAGATGGATTCTTGACCACTGCGCCAGAAGCTATGGATATATTCTGTAGCATATGGTTATTTTTTTAAAAATCCTATCAACCAATAAGCCTTTCCTGGACATCTTCTATGAGTATTAACATAGATGCTAAAAGCAATGGAGATAACTAAGACGCAGGGCTGGCTTAGCTCTTGAGAGCTCTCCGCCCATTTCAAGATTGCAGATGAGAATTAACAGTCATAGAACAGTTGAAGGCTTCTCTGGAGGCTTAGATGGTAAAAAGTCTGCCTGCAATGTGGGAGACCCAGTTTTGATCCCTGGGTCAAGAAGATTCCCTGGAGAAGGAAATGGCAACCCACTCCAGTATTCTTGCTTGGAAAATCCCACGGACAGAGAAGCCTGGCAGGCTACAGTTATGGGGTTGCAAAGAGTCAGGCACAACTGAGTGACTAACATGCAGAACAGCTGAGGACAGTTACATGCTGAGCCACGGTGGTAAAGCATGGTGGGACTCTGCGGCAGGGATCTGGAGAGCACAGGAATTGGCTGGTCTGTGTTGCCCACAGGACAGCAAACTTCTTTGAAGGTAAACATTAGATTGTGCCTTTTTCATCTTTCTGTTCACCTCTATCCAACTCCCCCTTTCTCCTTCAGGCCCCTAACCCAATTCTCCCCAGAAATATTATCAGACTTGAACACAGGAAGAACATTAATAAATAAACAAACTCTGTAGACCTCCATTTCCTCACCAGTTGCCTTACTGAGATTTTTAAGTTTTCAGCCATTTGTTGCTACTGCCCCCTTGGTGTGTGTGTTTTCTTTCTCCCTTTTGGAGAAATGCCCATAAATGCCCTTCACCTCTCCAGTAGCCATTGGGCAAGTTTTAGCAGGTCTAATCTTTCTTTTTAATTTATTTTATTTTTAATTTTTATTTTACCTTGGATCATAGTTGATTAATAATCTTGTGTTAGTTTCAGGTGTGCGGCAAAGTTATACATATATACATTTCTATTCTTTTCCATTGGTTTCCCTGGTGGCTTGGATGGTAACAATCTGCCTACAATGTGAGAGACCTGGGTTTGATCCCTGGGTCGGGAATATCCCCTGGAGAAGGGAATGGCTACCCACTCCAGTATTCTTGCCTGAAGAATTCCATGGACAGAGGAGCCTGGGAGCCTATAGTTCATGGGGTCACAAAGAGTCAGACATAACTGAGCTACTAACCCATACAGTTTTTCAAATTCAATCCCACTCCTGGGCATATATCCAGAAGATAACATGGTTTGAAAGTTGCGGTCTTTCTAACTGCAGGCACAGCCGCAGCTGCACAAGCCCCAAGACAAGGTTTTCCTGCAGGGAAAGGGAGGGGTCCCAGCTGCAGCTCACCCCACCCCATTCATCAGCTGTTGTGTTGTGACCACACAGTTAATCTCTGATACCAGGAAATCTGTGAGAGCGAAAGGAGGACAGTACAGATAGGGAGAGAAGCTCAAAGTCTCCCAGGGAGAGGAAGTTAAGAACCAGCAATGTGGTTAGCTGGGGGACAGGCCGTCCTCCATGAACACTGTACATTCCTGGAGTGATGTCTAGTGTTAGAATAGAATGTGAGCCCAGGATTCAAGTGTCCATGAGCCCAGTTAATACAGGGCATGGACTCCCAAAACTTGACTGAAGAACAAGACAGATTCTCACTATGTACAAAGCACAGACACATATAAAGTACATAGGCAGGTACACTTCTGCAGTATTCAGATTTCATGGAGGGGAATGTAATTAGGAGAAACGGACTTAAAAACAATCAATAACGAAAAACGAACAACAACCAAAAACGATTGAGAAACACTGATTTAGGGGAATGCCCAAGATTGAAATCCAAGAGATAACAGGAACTTGAAAGAATCAGTTCAGTTCAGTTCAGTCACTCAGTCATGTCCAGTTCTTTGTGATTCCATTGTCTGCAGCATGCCAGGCTTCTTTGTCCATCACCAACTCTCAGAGCTTGTTCAAACTCACATCCATCAAGTCGGTGATGCCATCCAACCATCTCAGCCTTTGTTGTCCCCTTCTCCTGCCTTCAATCTCTCCCAGCATCATTGTCTTTTCCAGTGAGTCTGTTCTTCGCATCAGGTGGCCAGAGGATTGGAGTTTCAGCTTCAGCATCAGTCCTTCCACTGAATATTCAGGACTGATTTCCTTTAGGATGGACTGATTGGATCTCCTTGCAGTCCAAGGGACTCTCAAGAGTCTTCTCCAACACCACAGTTCAAAAGCATCAATTTTTCAGCACTCAGCTTTCTTTATAGTCCAACTCTCACATCCATATATGACTACTGGAGAAACCATAGCTTTGACTAGATGGACCTTCGTTTTGCAAAGTAATATCTCTGCTTTTTAATATGCTGTCTTGGTTGGCCATAGCTTTTCTTCCAAGGAGCAAGTGTCTTTTAATTTCATGGTTATAGTCACCATCTGCAGTGATTTTGGAGCCCAAAAAATAAAGTCTGTCACTGTTACCATTGTTTTCCCACAATTTGCCATGAAGTGATGGGATCGGATGCCATGATCTTCGTTTTATGAAGGTTAAGTTTTAAGCCAACTTTGTCACTTTCTCCTTTCACTTTCATCAAGAAGCTCTTTAGTTCTTCTTCACTCTCTTCCATAGGGGTGGTGTCATTTGCATATCTGAGGTTATTGATATTTCTCCCAGCAATCTTGATTCCAGCTTGTACTTTATCCAGCTTGGCATTCCCTGTAATGTACTCTGCCTATATGTTAAATAACTTGGAAGAATAGTGAGCATTCAATCCATAGGTCTGAGATTGAGAAAGAAATGCTTGTATGACTATGAAGCTTTCCAGGTTTGGAGGCAGCAATGAGGAAACAGAAAGACACATGGCAGGCAGGGCTTGAGAAAGTGAGTGGCTGCCCCACAGAGGGCCCCAGGAAGCCTCATCTCAGGACAGAGACTGGTTTCCATTTAAGTGAAACATCAAAGTGTGTTCTGTAAAGACTCAGTACCTGGCATGGTTGTTTCAGTAAAAAGAGGTTTCATTGACATTGGGTGATGACTCAATCCACATAGCTATCATCTTTCATAAATGGTGCACTAACTGAAGTATTGCTCTCATACAACCAGGTGGCTGCTGAAATTCATCAGAGGCTCATGGAAGAAGAAAAAGAAAACCAGCCAGCAGACACAAAAGAAAAACCTCCTCAGGCGGCTGCAAATAAAAAAGTGAAAAAGGAGCCTCCACCACCACCACCGCAACCCAAGAAAAAAAAAGAGGACAAAAAAGGAAAAGGTATTCACAGCTCTAACATTCAGAACCGTGGATGCTTAACCTCTCCTTGGTGAAAAATAAGCACTTAACAGGCACATGAGCCTCTGAGTTACTAGAATGCTGTTCATTAGGTTTTATTTAGAGACTTGGGCTTCTGTAAGCTCGAATGTTAGTTGGCAAACATTCTCCATGCCAGCCCCTTCTAAGTTGTCTATCCACATAACCAAGTGTATTTAGGGTGAAATAAATCTCAAAGACCGTGTAAAACATGTGAAAAGAACCCCAAGAGGACCCTGTGCAGTCTGAAAAGTATGTGCAAGAGGACTGACAGTAGCTGCCTTTATCAAGAGAGGGTTACAAGCAACAGGTGGTAGTTTAGTCACTCAGTCGTGTCCAACTCATTTTTCCACTCCATGGACCATCGTAGCCCACCAGGCTCCTCTGTCCATGGAATTTACCAGGCAAGAATATTGGAGTGGATTGCCACTTCCTTCTCCAGGGGATCTTCCCAATCCAGGGATGGAACCAGCATCTCTTACATCTCCTGTATTGCAGGTGATTCTTTACTGCTGAGCCACCAGGTAAGCCCAAAAGCTAATTCTGTGTGTGTAAATTTCAGGCTTGAAGTGAAAGTGAGAAAGTGTTAGTCACTCAGTCATGCCCGACTCTTGTGACCATATGGACTGTAGCCCACTAGGCTCCTCTGTCATGGGATTCTCCAAGCAAGAATACTGGAGTGGGTTGCCATGCCCTTAGGTTTAATTCAGATCTCAGGTTTAACTTAATCTCCTGGAGGCCTCCTCCTGCCTAAAACTCTTTAAGATAGAGTAAAAAGAGGAAAGAAAACTTAAATTCGGAGACACCTCCAATAACTTTGGGGATGAGCTCCTCCACAGATATACTCTGCCCTCTGAATGTTCCCGCTTGTACATTTCTGAAGTGACTTGAGGCAAGAGAGGAAGAGAGGGAAGCATATGAGCAGAAGTCCCTCCACTGATCGGTTGCTCCTGATGTGTTTGTTAGGTCCCCACCATGCAGAACACAATTAAGATGGGTCCGAGGGACACAATAGTGAACTTACATAAAAAGTCAGAACCATGGTCCCTGCCCTGACAGAACTCTAGTCCAAGGCAGAGACAGACATGTGACCAGCCATTATTCTTTACGCAGAAGTACAGGTCCCTGGGGTCGCTATGGGGTTGCAAAGAGTTGGACATGACTGAGTCACTGAACTGAACTGAACAGGTCCCTGGAGAGCAATCACCTCACTCTATCTGAGGCAGTAGGAAGTGCTTCCTGGGTGGAGCCCATCCAGGTATCTAGGGTGGGAGTTGCAACGAAACCCTGAGGATGGGAGAGGCGTGAGGTGATGGCCCCTGGAGCAGAGGAAAGAGGGGCACTACAATTAAGAACTTGTGACCCTCATTGGTCTCAAATGGTGAACATAAAGGAAATAATCAGCATTTGAAGGAAATGATTCAATTTACTTTAATGGAATAGTTAGTTGGGTCCAATTTCCTAATTTTACAAATGCTAATACAGAAACCCAGAGAGATTAAGGGCTCTTTCATCTGTAACTTATACTTACATTCCACTACTGCAAATAAGATGCAACACATCTAATTATGATTTCTTTGTTAATATTTGTCTTCTTCCCAAAATTTGAACCCCTTGACATCAGACCTTCAAGAAAGATTTATTGAACTAAGTAGAATTATATAACCTGGGTTTGCAGCTAGAATCACACTGCCATTTCTTATGGGTTCATTCTCAGGCAAACACTAACAAATCCTTATTTTCTAATTCTCATAGACTATCTCTGAAGTACTTGTAGTTAAGTACTAGTTAAAAAATAATGAAGTAGGTGGGGCAGTCCTAAGATGGTGGAGGAATAGGATGGGAAACCACTTTCTCCCCCTGAAATTCATTGAAAGATCATTTGAATGCTGAGCAAATTCCACAAAACAACTTCTGAACGCTGGCAGAGGACACCAGACACCCTGAAAGGCAGCCCATTGTCTTTGAAAAGAAATGTTTTATTATCGGTGTAGTATAGATGGAGACATCTTGAGGCTACTGTAAGAAAAAGACTGAAAAGCAGAGGCAGGAGGCTTAAATCCAAAAGTTGGGAACACCAGAAAACTCCTGACTCCAGGGAACATTAATCAACAAGAGCTCATCCAAAAGCCTCCATCCTACACTGAAACCAAGCTCCACTCAAGAGCCAACAAGTTTCAGAGCAAGACATACCAAGCTAATTCTCCAACAACACAGGAATATAACCCTAAACATTAAAATACAGGCAGCAAAAAGTCACACCAAACCCATAGACACCTCAAAACTCACTACTGGACACTTCATTGCACTCCAGAGAGAAGGGATCCAGCTCCACCCATCAGAACACCAACACAAGCTTCCCTAACCAGAAAACCTTGACCAGCCACTCATCCAACCCCACCCACAGGGAGGAACCTCCACAATAAAGAGGAACCACAAACTTCCAGCATACAGAAAGGCCACCCAAACACAGCAATCTAAACAACATGAAAAAGCAGAGAATATTCATCAGGTAAAGGAACATGATAAATGCCCACCAAACCAAACAAAAGAGGAAGAGATAGGGAGTCTACCTAAAAAAGAATTCAAATTAATGATAGTAAAAATGATCCAAAATCTTGAAAACAAAATGGAGTTACAGATAAATAGTCTGGAGACAAGGATTGAGAAAATGCAAGAAATGTTTAAGAAGGACCTAGAAGAAATAAAAGAGTCAATCAATAATGAATAACACAATAACTGAGATCACAAACACTCTGGAGGGAACCAACAGTAGAATAACTGAGGCAGAAGATAGGATAAGTGAGGTGAAAGATAGAATGGTGGAAATAAATGAAGCAGAGAGGAAAAAAGAAACAAGAATTAAAAGAAATGATGACAACCTCAGAGACCTCTAGGACAATGTCAAACACCCCAACATTCGAATCATAGGAGTCCCAGAAGAAGAAAGCCAAAAGAAAGGCCATGAGAAAACACTTGAGGAGATAATAGTTGAAAACTTCCCTAAATTGGGGAAGGAAATAGCCAACCAAGTCCAAGAAATCCAGAGAGTCCCAAACAGGGACAAACCCAAGGTGAAACAACCCAAGATACATATTAATCAAATTAATGAAGATCAAACACAAAGAACAAATATTAAAAGCAGCAAGGGAAAAACAACAAATAATACACAAGGGCATTCCCATAAGGATAACAGCTGATCTTCCAATAGAAACTCTTCAGGCCAGAAGGGAATGGCAGGACATACTAAAAGTGATGAAAGAGAAAAATCTACAACTCAGATTACTGTACCCAGCAAGGATCTCATTCAAATATGAAGGAGAAATCAAAAGTTTTACAGACAAGCAAAAGCTGAGAGAATTCAGCACCACCAAACCAGCTCTCCAACAAATGCTAAAGGATCTTCTCTAGACAGGAAACACAGAAAGG